ATTATTACAGATAGATGCATTACTATACAATTATTTTCTTCAAGAAAACAACCTAAAACTACAGTACAGCAGCGTCAATAGTTTTCAGAACTTTTTTACTATTGGTGTAAACAGAAACATCCTATGCCCAAGCACAATTCTCCCGTAAAGAACCATGATCGATTAATTTATATCTGATATTAGTGCATCGGTGAAGACATACCTGTTTTTTCTATGCACAATCTTGAGGTTGAAGGTCTCAAACTCTTCCTCTTGAGCCTTTATTTGCCTTACTTGCTCTTGCACAGCAGCTGCCTCTTCATCCTCAAGTGATGCTCCTGTATCTTCTTCCCTAACAGCAGCAATTTTATCTTCTTCTTCTTGCTTGGCATGCTCTCTCTCGGCATAAGCATAATTAGAGAGTGTTGAGGGAGTAGAGTTTGTGGATCTAACAGCATTAGCATTATTTTCATCCCTAGAACTCATTCTAGGTGAGGAATCATTACTTTTCTGCCTCCATGAAGCGAGCATGTTATCAGAACCCACCATACAGTCATCAGTTTCATCAGTGACAACAGCATTGCAGTTGTTTGACCATAAAGATTTACTAGAGCTTGCCTGCACCAACTGTCCATCTCTAAGTGGTGGAGGGAATGAAAATACCCCTTCTGTATGATTTTTCTTCTGTCTCGATGCACCCGTATCAGTCTCAACTATATATTTATTTGCCTCTTGTTTACTAGTTTTCTTTTTGTCCTTGTTAGATCTATCAATGTTTTTCTTATCTGATTCATGATGATGCTTCCGGGGCCCACCAATTCCTACATCATGGTCTCGAAAGTATTCTAGATCCCCTTCACTACTGCCTCCAACCAAACTTTCCCGTACTTCACTGCCAATATCAGCAGCATCACTATTGATTCCCACACCTATTGATCTTACTGAACCAAGCTGATCATCATCCACACAAACATCATCTAGACGTGACCTTCCACAATCATTCAGAACTTTCCCATCCCCTAACATGATGAGTTCATTAGTCTGAGTGACAAAGCCCTGCCAGACAGGTTCTGCACGCATCAAATTAAGTTCCTCTTCATCCATCAACTGTCCATCATATTGAGCTATTAAATCAGTCTCATCACTCCTCCCATACAATTCAGTCACTGTTAGTCCTATAGGATCATCTGAAGTTACAATTGGTTCAACATTTTTCGCTTGAAAGTACCGCTCACCAGAAAAGTAAGAATCCTCCTCAGCAAAAGATTGGTCATCATCCTCATCTTTGGTTGGACCTCTTTCCTGTGGATCCGGAACACTCCCATGCCCTGTTCCCTTTTCATTGTCACTTGGGTAATCGATTTCATGGGCCAGAAACCAGGCCTCATCTTCAATAGGCTGTCTCATGTATCCCACATCATCATCATCATCATATTCATCAGAGTCCCAATACTCGTTTGGATAGTCAACAGATTCACTCAATCCATCACCAACAGTAGCAAAACCAGAAACTAGATCAGATGTATCCTCTGCAATCCCCTGACTTACAGACAGCCAACTGCCTCCTCCTACATTCCTTTTTCCACCTGAACAATAATTTTAAAGCAAGAAATCAGAGACTTGACGTACCAAAATAACCAATATCAAGTGGCAACAGAGTTTGACCCTGAAGAACTTCAGAAATTCAAAAACTTGAGGCCTAATGAAGAGAATCTCTACTGAAATTGAGCAGACAATCAAGCATGATTGCAACAGATATATTTGCAACAGAAACATGAAATAGCTGAGAAGCCTATAAGGATAAAAGTGTCTGCAATGAGTAGAAGTCCTGAAAGCCCAGACAATAAACTGACTACTGCAATTGCTACTTAAAATTAAAAATATTAGGTGAGCATACAATGCTCTATCAAATTTATCAAAACTAACCTGAAGAATTGATTTCTTGTCCAATAGGGACATCCAAATATGACCCAATAAGAAGAGCATTGTCAGCAGCGCTGAGTTTTGAGCCAGGTACATCTCGCTCAAACTTTTCCTCCCAATTAATATTCAATGGTTTGTCCTCTGACTTGAGTTTGACAGGCGGCAGCCTAGGGAACTCTTCCTTTTGATTCTCGGGAAGAATAGGAAAAACTAAGCTACTGATGGTATTTTGCTCAGAACTCCCTTGTGACTTGCTTAAGTATAAAGCTCTTCCCACCTCATCAACCTGATCCTTTATTGTTGCCCTAATATCAGTCAACTCAGTTTTTCTCTTTCCTTCTTTTTTGTCAGAAGCAGAAGCACTATCATAACTTGTTGGCACGTCCCCCTTGGAGAATGGAAATACCGTCTTGACAGAACAATCTTTCCACATCTCTGAAGGTGAATTTGAAGGTTCTTCAATTCTTGACCATGGATTATCTGCTACGTTTTCTTTGAAGAATGAGGTACTTGTCTTAAGTTGTTGGTCAAGTTCCTTAGGTTCACTTGTTTGGGTTCTGTCATACTTCAATTCCACATTAGCTTTGCTAGTACTTCCTGCCCAAGAAGTTTTCTTTTCGCCAGAAAGGGGAATCTCTTCTCCATATTTCACAATGGCTTTACCCGAATCAGGAACCTCAGCTGTATGATTCCTTGATTGGTGGGATATCTGAGGCTCTGGGTAGTTATTGATACTACCATCTCCATCATTTTGACAAGGTTCTGCAGGTCCATTGCTAGGATTGACCTTCCATGAATATAAATCAAGCACTGTGTCCTCTAAACCTTTAGAGAATGCGAAGCTCTTGTGATTTGTCCCAGCCACCTCAATAGTTTTATTCCGCTCCCCAATAGAAGCAGTATTTTTCCATTTGCTTTCAGACCCATTTCTACCAGTTCCATACTCTATCTCTTTCACTATAAGTTCCTTAGAAACTTCACCACCATTCCTAGACCCCAACCCTTGACTTTCCACCACCAATTTGTCCCCATTTTCAGCTTCCAACGAATTACCCAAGTCCTTCTCTTCAAGAGTAAGCTTCTGAAGGAAACCATTCAAATCAGGACGATTACTGAGCTCACTGCGAAGAGCTGCCTCAGCTCTTGAAAACCTATTCTTCCGCAGAAAGTCCAGAATCACGTCAACGGAGTTTGAGTCCCCCATTTTCAGCCTCCTAAAACCTACAAACATGCATCAAAAAATCACCCACCAAACCTGAGAACATCCATTAACAAAAAGCTCATCCAACAACAACAAAGAGTCAAAAACCCATCTTCCAGTTTGCCCCATTTTTGCTAAGAAAATGAAAAACCAGATTTTCAAGTATATATATACAAAGAAAATGAAGTAGGTATTATTTCGTCCAAATATAATGACGAAGATACCTCGTATTAGGCTCAACGACTGGCGGCATTTTGTCTTCTAGTGTCCTGAAGAATGGGAAAATCCAACATTCAAAACATCAAATATTTAATTTCCTTTTTCCCACATTTTATGAGCAACTAAGCAAAGCAAAACCATTGTTTTTCTCTCAAAAAAAATGTAAAACCAAGTTGTGAAATCCACCACAAGAGCGTGCCGGCCCGACTCTCCGTCTCAAAACGACGCATTTTCAACGTGGATCCGTCACTTACAAGCAGGTTGCGGTTCCCAAATCCATAGATTGAAAATTTAGAAACCCTCAAAATCCCAACGGATTTATTAGTTTGGGGAGTGGGATTTGATTTTCACGAAAGTTTCATAGCCGTTGGAGCCCAACACAACTCTATTTCTAGGCCAGAGAAACTCAAGATCTGATTTTTAATTTTTCGTGTTATTTTGGGCAAAATGATTTTCTGGGTATCGAAGAAGGGGACAAAATAGCTTAAAACTGAAAAATACAAAGAAGGGTTAGATATAATAAAGCGACGGAGGAACAGAAGAGAGGCACCTGGTGGTAATGGGAGTGGGCCGGTTGCTGCTGGCGCTGCTTATTTTCTTCTTTTCCTTTTGTTTCTTCTCTGTGGAGGCTTTTGGGGGCGCGGTCTCCTGAATTGAGGTGGTGGTGGTCCAAAGCTTCGTTTTAGTTTTAGTTCTTTTTGATGCTCTTGAATAACTTGAATATATTCACTATTCAGTCTATTCTCATTTTCACGACCAAAATATAATAATAATAATAATTCAATTTTCTTACTTTTACTTTACCTCTCTCGGCCTTTCTCCTGCTTTTGCGTCTACCATTTGATCCGGTGGAATTTAGGTAGTATTATTTGACTTGTAGCCTAATTTCCCAATATACACCATAAATACAAATAACAATAAACTTGTAATGGCACAAAGTGAATTTGAAAACAAACATCGAAAAAGATTGTGTTGATATTAAAATAGTGAATTCATTTTCAATTTGAACAACTTTTTACATGGATGATCTAAGGAAAATCAATTCAAATTACAAAATCACATTGTCAGATATTAGCCTACAAATACATACATTTTTCGAGTGTATTGTTTAATAATTTTGAGTCCTAATCTAACTTACACCTTTCGTTTTTTACAACCTAGTAAATAATTAGTGTTCTTTTTTTGTTCCAATAGCTTAACAAGTAACTATATTTCTTTTTTTGCTAACATCCTAACAAGTGAGTAGGGATCATTTATTACAATTTATTTGAATAGGAAAAATTGCTTTCTTAACCCAAATTAGTAATTGTCTTTGATTGAATATAGTTATTTGAAAGCCAAATTGTAACTATATTTAACCAAATTGTCTTTTAAATATATACCCAAGCTATTATACGAAACTCTAGCCGTTCTCTCCATCTGTGAATCCTAAAGGAAAACTCTACATAGAGGGGAGGAGAAAAAAGCATTACTGCCCCTTCTCCCCCTCCTCTCTTCTCGTCTTTTTCTTTTAAGTTAGTGAATAAGTTCATTGGGGTATTTTGAATAAAAAGCCTATTGTGGTGATTTCTTTTTATAGATTGATGATCTTTTGAGCCAAAACTGGTTTTTATATTGATGATCTTATGATCAGGGTCTTGCCGATTCTGACACCTTGCCACTCAGTGTATCACAAGAAATGCTTCAACGACACAGCATTTTGAAGGCAATTAAGAAGAAGCTCATCCGGAAAGCCCTTGATATGATCCGTAAACTTGCTGAGGAAGATCCTGATGAGTCCAATGACAAAGACAAGGAAGGTATGGTGCGCATATTATTGCTTCTTGTTAATATTTGTAAGCAGTTTCCTTGTGCTATTCTGGAAGTATTCAATCGGAGCGTACGAGTTGTTACATGGTACATTGATATCATGTTTACTGCAGCCCAGTTAAACTTGCATTAATACCATCCCTTGAAAACCAACAACTCGAGCTTCATGTTTTGCTGTTTTTGTAAAAGTTAGTAAAGCTAACAGTGGGGGAGAGTTACTAAGTTTGCATTAATTGTTCACTTTTGCCTTGTGTTGAATTTTGATGCGAACACAGAGGTTGAAAAATCCAGTGATGATGATTGGAAGAGAGGCCGATATACTAGATTCTGCCTTTATGGGGTTGAATGACGAACTTTGAACTCTCTGGCAGCACCAAGTCAGATGGAAAATTGACTTCACGAGAGCATTACTGGAGCCAGCAAGGAACAATTGGAAAAATATCCCTTCATTGAGTGGCTTAAGAAGGAAAATTATGAGGTACATATAAAAGATATTCAATCCTTGCACTTGTTTAAATAGGGTTGTTTGTTACTTTCCTACTTGTTCTATTTGAGTCATGAGTAAGGCCTTTTTTTGTCTCTCTATTTACCTTTTTATATCTATTGCTGCAGGTTATTTTCTTGACAGATCCAGTTGATGTATATCTGATGAAATACTTGGTGGACTATGAAGACAAGGAACTCAAGGAATCATACAAGGAACTCACTAAATGGTGGAAGAGTGCTCTTGCCAGTTATGATGTGGATGATGTGAAGCTGTCCATCCGATTGGCTGACACACCTTGTGTGGCTGTGACATCAAATTTTGGTTGGAGTGCAAACATGGAGAAGATCATGCAGTCTCAGATTTTATCAGATGCTAGCAAGCAAGCATACATGCGTGGCAAGAGGATACTTGAGATTAACCCAAGGCATCCAATCATCAAGGAGCTCCAGTAAAGAGTAGTAAAGAGCGCTGAGGTATGTTCTAGACTTCTTCCCCTGCACTTACAGAAATCTGACATATATGAAGGTTTTCGCAGAATTAAGGTCTTTGTGCATTTATGATCTTGTTCACTTTTTAAATGGTCTCCAACATTTATAAATGACTGGTGGGTCTTGCTTGCAAAATATTTTTAAGAAATCTTGACCTTTGTAAGTTGGATTTCTCTGTCATTGGTTAAAATTGTTCATTTCTGATTGTTTCTCATTTGGGGATCTGATCTTTGTCCTTGTTATGAAATCAAAATGGTTCTTCATTTAGGTGGTTTAGATGAATAAATAGGCACATTGCCATCACAGGTTTGTTAAGCAATTGAAAGAAGCCAAGGCCTATGCCTACTCTTATGGTTGAGTCTAAAAGCATGTCTTAAAAAATCCATTTGTTGAATTGTTGGTGAATCTGGTTTATCTCATTCGATTATTTGCCTGCTCTTCAGGATGAGAGTGCAAAGCAGACAGCAATGCTTATTTACCAGTTTGCACGCGTGGAGAGTGTTTCCAATTTTCCAGACCCCAAGGTTTGTGCCTCCTGCTTGTACAGTTTAATGAAGTCTATCCAACATCAACCCTGATCTTGCAGTTGAGGAGGAAGAATATGTTGAAGAGGTTGAGACAGAAACTGCAGACACTTTCTTTTTTACTGAAATTACGTAGATAGATGGATTCAAAGATAAAGCAAACATTTTCTTTTTTACTGAAATTAAAGTCAAGTTGAAGAATGGCGTTGCCTACAATCACAAAAAGCTCTTTCTTTGATACACTAACTTCAATTGCAATCGTTCAAAAACTAGCTTGGAAGACTAGTAAAGGGAAAATAAATGAACAAAAACCGTATCTGTACACTCTATGCTAAATATATATAATCTAATCTAATCTGTTCTGTATCGTCGATCGTGGATGGTTGTGTCTTGAATAGTGAACGTATACTTTACAAGCAACCTGTGGACTTCCTCATCAGCCTCTGTGAGACTCTGACTTGCACGTATGGTGATCATGCTACGCAAAAGAAATAGAGCTTTATGCTTTGGAGGTTTGATCCCCTCGAAGAGATCACTTTCCCTATTTTTCTTCTGTCCAAATTCACTAGTTGATAGGAACTTGATGATATCCCGATATATTATATAAAAAAATTATGTTTTTATTCAATTTTTATTGATATTGATAATATCCCGATATTTCCATATTTTTAGACTACCGATATTTCCAATACCATTGATATTTTAGACTTTGGTTGTGATGTAGTGGTACTCTTTTTTCTTGACTGTTTTTTCTGTCGTTTAGGGTTTTTTAAGACAAGGTTTTAATGATGCCACACTTATTGTATCATCGAGTTCCAATTTATGTTGAATTATATTCTGACATTGCGGAGCTCCGATTTGTTTCATCGTGATTGATTCAGGTCGTGAGTGTTTTTTAAGATCACGCTCTTGTTCTTGACTCTCACGTTGGGTTTGCGGATGTTTTCATCCTATCATTTGTACACTCTTATGATGTTTCTAAAATAAAGCATCTTTCCCAACAGAAAAAAAGTTTTTAATTAAAAGACATGTCACATGATAAAGTTTACAATTTTTTTTAGATCGGAAATGACAAGTGTATGTTGGATGAGATTCATAAAACACAACCTACATTCATATGTGTTTGTAAGTTTGTAGCATGTTATTGTTGCTTAGTAATTGCAATTTACTACATTGATACCAACTTACCACCAACTATCAAGTAAGCCAACGTTTGTGAATTTTGACTACATTGATTTTCATCTACCATGAAACAAAAAAGAAATTCACAATGGAATATCATTATATGAATCACAACATTCAATTCAAAGGATGGAAAATCTGAAAATAATCAAACAGCAAGGACATGGACCCACTAGGAGTAGACCAGGACCCACAGTGCTACGTGTCGTCGACCCAAGCGGGAAATTCAGATCCGAATAGGAAGGAGGCCGGGAATCGTCCCAAGGCGTTGACTATCAAACCACCATATCTCTCACCCTCTAACACGTAGACATAAAGAAAGAAAGAAAGAATGAAAGAAAGAAATAAATAAAGGAAGTTAAAATAGAAAAAAGAAAAAGAAAAAAAGAGAAGCGTTAGACGCACCCTATGGCATAAGGTAGGCACCAAAGCGTCGGTGAGGCATCAAACATCTTAGGATGTGGTGAGGCACTCCGTCTCCGTCACCCGCTGCTCCCCGTTTTGGCTTAATATTATAATTTTCACATTAACCTCTAATAATTAATAAAACTTATGAGCGTATTAAGCTTAACTTCTATATTTTATTAAGCCCCAAGTAAATATATAAACCAAACCAAAGGAGGCCCAAACCCAAAATCAGATATATATTGAACGTGTTTGTCTGTCTCTGCAGAGATTAGAGAGAGAGTGAGAATGGGGAAGACCATGGCGGTGGGAGTGCCAGTCATCATCGCCTTGCTAATTCTGTGCGGTGTGGATCTGGTCAGGTCAGACGCGTCGGATCATCGGTACAAGGAAGGAGATTTAGTCCCTTTGTATGCCAACAAGGTGGGCCCCTTCCACAACCCCAGGTAAAACCCAGACTCACGCTGCTCGCTCCTCGATCTCAAAGTTTCACGTTTTCTTAGCTCAATTCAGCTTCTGGGTTTGTTCATTTCGCTGTTATTTGTTCTGGATCTGAGTTTATTTGTAGAACCATTTGTCTGGTTACTCAGAAATTTGCATGAGTTACAAGTTTTTCAGCTAAGACGACAAGATTTGTTTCAGCTGGGATAAGTTAGACACTGTGATTGGCAAATTTAACTTGGATCAATTGTGTTGAATTCTGAGCTGGATCTATTTTTAAAGATTTGATTTGGGATAGACCATTAGGCGGCTTTGCTAGCATTTTGAGATTGAACAGTGTTTTCATTGAAATAGCATGTGCACTGTTCTTGGAAGCTTAACTCTGTTTCTGCTGAACTAGTTAATATTTTAGATGCAAGTTTGACTATGGTGGAAATTTGGTATTCACAATTACAATTTGGTTAATTTTGTATTTTTTGGGTGATTACAGCGAAACGTACCGATATTTTGATCTCCCATTCTGCTCACCAGGTTTGCATCAATCGGATTCGTTTTTATCTTTCTTACTTCTTACATAATATGTCTTCATCTTCTGCGAGGACTTTCATTTACCTTAATATTTGGATCTTAATTGCAGATAAGGTGAAAGAGAAGAAGGAAGCTCTGGGTGAAGTATTAAATGGGGATCGTTTAGTCAGTGCCCCTTACAAACTAGAGTTCCAAAAGCATAAAGATTCAGAAGTAGCTTGCAAAAGAACAATCAAAAAGGAAGAAGTGGCCCGGTTCAGATCTGCTGTCAACAAGGACTATTACTTTCAGATGTATTATGATGACTTGCCCATCTGGGGTTTCATAGGAAAGGTTGACAAGGAAGGCAAAGACCCGAGTGAATACAAGACCTACCTGTATAAGCATATTCATTTCGATATCTCTTACAACAAGGACCGTGTGATTGAAATCAATGTTCGAACAGATCCAAATGCACTGGTTGACCTTACAGAGGATAAAGAAATTGATGTCGAATTCATGTATACTGTAAAATGGAAGGAAACAACCACTCCTTTTGATAAGAGGATGGATAAGTATTCTCAGTCCTCATCGCTGCCGCATCATTTGGAGATCCATTGGTTCTCGATTATAAATTCATGTGTGACAGTTCTCCTCTTGACCGGGTTTCTTGCCACAATTCTCATGCGAGTGCTTAAGAATGATTTTGTCAAGTAAGCATATTTAAGAGTCATTTATCACTGTTTTCTGTCTGCCAGTTCACTCATTTTTTAATTTACTGTTTGTTTCTCTATAAAAGATATGCCCATGATGAAGAAGCAGCTGAAGACCAGGAAGAGACTGGATGGAAATACATTCATGGAGATGTATTTAGATTTCCCAAGTACAAGTCTCTGTTTGCAGCAGCTCTGGGTTCAGGCACCCAACTATTTACCCTGTGAGTGCTCGTTAATCCAGCTATAGGTTTAGCGCTAACTCTCATTTTTTGAAGTTTCTCATTATTTCTTGTTTTTTTCCATGCCATGCAGTACGATATTCATTTTTATACTTGCTCTTGTTGGCGTGTTTTATCCATACAACCGAGGGGCTCTATTTACTGCTCTGGTTGTCATTTATGCACTCACATCAGGAATTGCAGGATATACTGCTACTTCATTTTATTGCCAGCTAGAGGGAACAAACTGGGTATGTGATGATAAATTCCCCTGCTAGGGTTTTGGAATCATTGACTAAAGTTTATATTATATGAATTGAAGATTGAACTTCCTGGTATGGCAGGTTAGGAATCTATTGTTGACGGGATGCCTCTTCTGTGGACCTCTGTTCCTTACATTCTGCTTTTTGAATACTGTTGCAATTGCTTATACGGCCACTGCCGCGCTTCCCTTTGGCACTATTGTGGTTATAGTTCTAATTTGGACACTTGTAACATCACCTTTGCTAGTGTTAGGAGGGATTGCCGGAAAGAACAGCAAAGCTGAGTTCCAAGCTCCTGTCCGCACGACTAAATATCCCAGAGAGATTCCACCTTTACCTTGGTACCGGGCAACAATCCCTCAAATGGCAATGGCTGGTTTTCTGCCTTTCAGTGCTATATACATTGAACTGTACTACATTTTTGCCAGTGTGTGGGGTCACAGGATTTACACCATTTACAGCATCTTGTTTATTGTGTTTATCATTCTTCTGATAGTTACTGCTTTCATTACTGTGGCATTGACATATTTCCAACTTGCTGCTGAGGACCATGAGTGGTGGTGGAGGTAAGGAGGTTCCGTGCATATTAATTTTTTGTTAGGGGTTTTATGCAAGTTATTATGTTTTTTATTCCTATGCTTGCCGTTATTGATTAACTGCTTTTGTTGATATGATCTGCAATTATATTGACGTCAAGTATTCGTGACAGATGGAGAAATGGTATTGAAAATTCCGATAAGTGGGATATATGGATTTTGTAGGTTTAGGATTAAGAAAGCTAGACTAAAGTAACGGGTGCACTGAATTAAAGAAAGAAGAGCTACCATGTTCTAGGCAATTGATATTTAGGATTTGTGGACTTTTTATTAATTAGTTTTGCGGATTGCCTTGGTTGCTCATTAGTGTGGTATTAGTATTGCGTGTTATATAATACTTGATTTTACTTCAACATGAAAATTTGGACATCACTTTGTAAACCATCCTTGATTGATGTATAAATGTTGGTTTGATTACAGATCTTTCCTCTGCGGTGGATCTACTGGCATATTTATCTATGCCTATTGTTTGTATTACTACTACGCACGCTCGGATATGTCAGGATTTATGCAAACATCATTCTTCTTTGGTTACATGGCATGCATCTGCTATGGTTTCTTCCTCATGCTTGGAACTGTAGGCTTCCGTGCAGCTTTGCTTTTTGTTCGTCACATATACCGATCCATCAAGTGTGAGTAGGTAGTTGTTCTCCAAGAATCAATCATCATGGGAGATGTATTTTCTGGTGTTTTTCATCTCGTAGGCACCTACCTCCTTGTAGAGAAGTTTCCTCAAAATTAATTTTGTAGTGCCTTCTCGTGTACTAAAGCAGTGTCATGAGATATCTTGCTTTCCAGAGCAATGTGTTAGATCACAATATGGTCGACTATTCATAGAGACAGTTTGTATCATTACCCTTGAAGCTTTGCAATACATTCTTTAAATATCTTCCTCTTTTCTTCGTATCGTTATAGAGTTACCCAATGTTCTCTCATGCTCTCTCTCTCTCTCTCTCTCTCTCTCTCTCCTCTCTCTCTCTCTCTGTGTTTTGTAAATACATGGCATATATTATTATTGGCTGCTGCTTAATACTTGTGGAAGCAGCTGCTACATGCAAACTAAGATCATAAAAAAGGGCCAACTAAGGACGTCGAACCAAAGAACAAGGAAATTTAAAAATAAAAAAAGATTTATCAACTTCGTTGTAAGAACAAGGCAATCAAAAAACTGAAGAAATGTTTCCTAAAAAAAAATAAAAAAAATAAAAAAACTGAAGAAATGTTGGGGTGCCTTCCAAGTTTTTTTATTTTTTTTGTGAAACAGTAGCACTTCAATTGAAGAAACAGGGCACAAACCCAGATTACAACAATAAGAACCCTGGAAGGAGGTTCTTGCAATACAAAATTTAACAACACCACCAACTTAGCTCAAGTATTACAAGATAGTTAGAGCATCTACAGTGGGAGGGTGTAAATTTGGAGGTGTAAAGCCACTTTTACATCCCCTTTACACCTCCGGGGGGTGTAAATTCGTTTTTTGCTCCAATGGGAAAAGATGTAAATCTAAGATGTATAATTGTTTTGTTTGTCTTAATTCGTTTTTGTGTTAAATTTGTATTTTGTGTTTACTTTATAAAATTAATTTTTTTTTGTATTAGGTTAATTTTAATTTTTCAAACAAATGGACATAAAAATATTTAAATTCGGAGAAGATATAATTCATTCAAAAAGAATCGTTGGATCGTAAAGTATCTAATAGGTTAAAGAATAGAAAATAAACAAAAAACCTAAAAATTAAAATCCAATTTTTAAATGTTGTTTTGGAAGCTTAAACGACCTCAAAAGCCAAAAATCCACCTTATGTCACTACCAAGAAGTGAGTATGATTCGTGACGTCGTTCCCTTTTCGGGAAGGTATCATAGACCCCAATCGGAGCTCAAACGCCAAATCTGTAAATTCCTATTACGTCCTTTTTCAATTTTTCATTCCAATAATTATGCCAATTTTTTCCAGAAATTACTGTAGCTGCAGGTCCTAGCCGTTTATGCTGACTTTTCTTCTCTTTTCTCGGGTGGGTCCCGCCTGCAAGGGATGTAAATATACATTTTATTTTACACCTCAAAGGTGGTGATGTAAATTTATATCCTTTTACACCTCCCCATTGGAGACGATTCCGGTGACTCGGGGTGTATATTTAACATACACCCCCATATACACCCCCTCACTGTGGATGCTCTTAGAAAACAAATTTACAACTTTAAACCCATCTAACAAGGAGTTACAGATGATGAAGATTCTATTTCTGCAGCAACCAGTGCTTAAGAGAGATCAAGACAAAGAACAAATTCTCATACTTCATGGGATAGGAAGTACCCCAAGGATGGAGGGCAATACTGCTCAACTTCCACCAGGATATTCCAAAGAATATCACAGCATCTCCTAATCCCCCTTGATCTGCAAGCACAACAAAGTAGATCCACCAAAATCAGCAGCTCCATCTCCAAAACAGAAATATCGACACTAGATCTACCACACAAGTAGCAAATCTAGCAAGATTAGCCAAAAATCAACCCCAAAAGACTGGGAACCAGACCCTCAAGAAAAGAGGGAAGAAACAAACCCTTGCAACAGCAAGGAGCAGACAAAACCCAACAAAAGTTGGGAGGGAAAACCTCTCCACAACATAACGGGGGGGAGAGAGGCCTGGATTATTAACCGAAGGGGGTGGTTTCATGGGAAATCCCCTGGAACTAAGGAGAAAAGCATATCTGTGTTGGCTTTGGGTGGGAGGAAAAGAAGAGTCGAGAAGGTTGGGTTCTGTGTTGATCTGATGTTAAATTCTTTTAAACTTGGGGTGCCTTCCAAGTTTCCCAGTGGTATTAGGCCCATTCCTTTCACCAACAAGAATGAAATTAAACCTTCCTGATTTTCATCTTGATGTTTTCTTTCTTCAGCCAATGTTTTTTTAGCCTTCAAAATATTCAAATTACATTTCTCTTTAGGAATCTTAAAACATGACTCAAAAACACTGATTATCCTCCCCCCTTCCCCTTGTAGACAGTGGAAGGCCGGTCGTGTTTTTAGATGCATTACTAAGAATCTCATTCACTAATTTCATTACTAATCATCTGAATTAAGATATCTTTGGGAGTGTATAAGAAGTTTTGTCAGAAGCGTTTTCAGTTTCCATTACCCGTTGCTATGTAATGTGGTATTACATGTTTGGCCTATACAAAATTTACTTAAAACATCTAGTAAAATTTCTATATAAAAAAAATCTAGTAAAAAAAAACAAAAGAGAAAGAAAAACGAGAAAAAATACATTTAACTGAGAAGAAAAGATAAAAGGAAAGGGCCTCGAAAATGAGTCAATGGTGATTAGAACTTAGAAAGGCAGGACAGTTGAGCATCGCACAACATCTGGAATTCAAGACTCGAAATTAATGAGCCGCGAATTTCTTTATCTCTGGTTGTAGTCTATCACAGTATCCACACCGATTTGCAGCAACTGGACGGAGACTGGTGAGATATGTCCACTACCTCATCTGCTCTGGCGCTCCGCCTCCCCTTTGCTTCCCCAATCACCACCACCACCACCACCACCACCAAACTCACTTACCCAGTAAGCTCTCTTCTTCTTTTCCTCCTCACCATTTCACAAGCTTTACTCCCGCGTATTTTGTTTCGTTGCTTCTATTTTCTTTGTCTGACCACCAAATATACAGAAACAACAATCTATAATCATAACCCGTGTTACTAATCGTAATTAACAGATACGTAGCTCACGTTGGTCTACAACTAGTGCGAGGCTTGTGGGTTGTGCTCATGCTGCCATTTCAGGAAAAGGGCAAGGTACATTTTTGCTCTCTTTATGGCCTGCCTCATAGCCTTTTAGATTGTTTCACGTTTTGGATTTTTTATTCGATATGGGTTTTGTTCACTTTTCAGGCACCTTTGATCCAGAATTGCGTTCCGTACTTGAACTTGCGACGGACTCTGAGTTATATGAGCTTGAAAGAATCCTTTTTGGCCCTAGGTACTTCGAACTGTATAATTCTTTCTGTTTCGTTAATATGAAACTTGGGACAAGACTAGAAAATCGTGTTTGCTTCTCACACTTTTTATTTTCAGTAAAGGAGTACTGTCAACTGTTAATCAAACTCAAGATTAACAACTTGAAGTTTCCTTGTGATGCTGACGTGTTTATCTTTGGTTGCTGTCAATGTCCAGCTACTTCAGCCCGTTGCTGAAATCTATAATGAGCAGAACCAATGTCGACTATGCAATGATTGAAGAGGATCTTGAAGAGCGAGAGGAATTTTTATCCACATTAGAATCGCGATTCTTATTCCTGGCAGCTGATGCCCGGTCAACGTTAAGGTTTTTCCTCAACTTATGTAGGCTGGGGTCAATGAGTTCTTCCGCAATCTTATCTGCAAAATTCACCTCCTAAGTTAACTTGTTTGGAGTCAATATTACTCGAAGCTTATGGGGTGACTTGCGATTGAATTGAACGTATGAGGGATTCCTAGCTATGAATTGTGTTTCAACTCTGTGTAATCCTATATATATATATTTTTTTTTGCAAAACTAACTGCTAGTGTCATCTAATTGTCAGCTATGTTTCGCTCATGTTGACTATGCAATTGGTTTGTGTTGGATACTTGGTAGGGGTTGGAGGCCATCATATAGGAATGTCTTGCTTGCAGTGAGAAAAGAGTTAAACATTCCTTGCTCAAGCAAATTGTCAACTGAAGACCTTGAAGCAGAGATTTTCCTTCATCTATTGCGAGATTTTTCAAGGCATGTGTTCTGTATATATTTCTCTAGTATTTAGACCTTGGTTTTTATTAGTTTCTGAAGTAGAAGTAACTTTTCTTATATATATGTATATATAACCATCCATAAGGAAGGAGAGTTCAAAGAGAACTCTCCCTTAGGTATGAGAAGTGAACTATGGGATGTGCTTGCCAAATGTTGTGTGATGATTGTGTATTTTCCATATTGATAAAGATTTCAAAAGATGACTGTAAATGGTTGTTGTTTGGGAAGGAAGGGTAGACAGCAAAAGAATCTTTTCCATAATTAGAGTTGGATATAATTATTTGATCCAGGTAAGTGGTATAAATCAAAGAGTTCCTCCATCTTAAACCATATTACAATAAAAAAGGGAAACCAAGACTGAATACTTGCATCTAAATCGAAGAGTTTCCTTGATATTGTCTGCTAATCAGAAGTATAGACCAATCTTTTCACCAAAAAAGAATATTAGTGTTCAAGCTGGTACAAGGGCAGGGAGAGAGTTGAAGTGAAAGCAAGTCAGTACTTTGAGCAAAACATTGATTCCCAGTGATGCTTTAGTGTTTTGGTAGAAAAGAGTTCATGTCTTGGACGAGTTGGTACATACATTGATGAGTTGATATTTAGTAAATGCTATTTGATTTCAACAACTTACTGTTTGAGTGGATCATAGTATCTTAGGAAAAGTTTACTTTCTTTTATTTTAAATGTGCTGTAATGACTTATAATGAGTCACTTCCTTCATGTAGTGAAGAATCAGGAAGTTTCCAGGGCTTGTTGGAATTCTCTGAGCCCTCTGATGCTCAACATAGTCTTCAACTTGGTCTCAGTCAATGGAAGGTGCAGGCCCTTACTGCTTTAAAAGTCAGCGCAACAGAGCTCCGATCAATGTTTTTGAAGGTAATGTAGCTTTACCGTAATGACTTTATGCATTATCAAATCTCTCCAACTTAAGTTCATATTTTTAAATTCTGTTGGTTCTGATTTTCTCTGAAGGGTGGCGGTATCTTTACTTTGGCAAAGATTTATCAGTTGGTAAGAATTTAGTCAACCTGATTAATTTTATTTTGCTCTTCTTTTTATACCTTTTAACTATTTTTCCTTTGTGGTAGTTAGCTAGAAAGTTATCTGGGAAGGTGTTCCTAGAAGCTGCCAACTATCAGCTAAAAAGGGATTTTGTCAGAAAGGTACATATTTGACTTCATTGCTATCTCGTTGTAAAAGGAAATTAGTTGTCTAATATTAATATGCGGAGTTCAATTCTTTTCAAATTTATTACAGCTTTAATGCTTTGAACTCCTGCTATTTATTGATATTAATCTTTACATGGGCAAAGTGAAATGTCTTCCTGCTATTACATTCAAATTTTTCTTTCTATTTTCGAACTTAGATATACAGCTTGTGAAATTGGGTGACACCACCTAGGCATTTTTCAATATTTTCTCTTTACTACTCAGTATCTGGCTATTGTTCAAAGAGATATGAGAGAGAGAGAGAGAGAGAGGGATAAAAACTGGGAAACTCCTCAATTTTGGTGACTCCACTTAGGACATACACAAGTTTTGCATACATACTTTGTGCATAGATTTTATTTTTGTGTCCTGCCATTCCCAGTGTGCATGCTCTAGATTTTGAAGATTTGCCTCTTCATCAGTTACATTCATGGATATACATTACTCTGGTCCTTCCTGTGTCTGATATTTTTTAAAGTTTTTAATTCCCCTTGTCTTCATGTCATGTCATCTCCCATGTCCATGTCTATATGGAGCATTAATGACTTTATTTCTCTAATTAACCTTTATCCCTGACATTCCTGTACTTTCTGGATTTTCAGGGTGGACAATTAGCTGCTATTAATCTAGAGTCCAGAGCGGCCTTTCTTGCAGCAAAACAAGTAATTATATCCTGATGATGATTCAATTTGCTGCCACTGGCATCTAATGATTTCTTTATGCGATAGTGGCATTCTTATATATAGAAAAACTATTGTATGAGCTAGTGGCATTTTTATTTGGTCCGGTCTAAGTATTGTTTCAACAAAAACCTGAATCAATTGTAATTTGTAGCAAATGCTGATATCAAGGAAACCTCTCATTCTTGTGGTTTAAATAGTGTTCTATGTTCCTCTCCCACCCCCCTTCCCCCCTCACATTTCAGGATTCCTAATATTTGTCATTTTGGACAGGGTTTTGCAGGGGCTACATCAAGATATCTTGGTTTAAGAAGCATGATGGCTTTGCTTGGCCCAGTGTATTGATTCTTCCTACACCTAATTTCTAAAACGTTATTATTTAAAATTTCCATGAACTTGCTTTTCTTGTTCGTTTGCAAGGTTCTTTTACGCTCACACACACACACATGCACATGCACATGCACACACACACACACAGAGTATTATTTTGATTGTTCCTTTATCACACACACACACACACACACACAGAGTAATATTTTGATTGTTCCTTTATCAAACACACACACACACAGTATTATTTGATTGTTCCTTTATCAAACTGTCTATATATTGTGTTTTCTAATTTCTAAGAAAGTAGAATAAGGAGGAACGCTTAGGTAGTTAAGGTTGGTGCCAGCATAAAACTTAGTCACTTCTCGGTAACCAAGAGTCATTTTGGGTGAAAAAGGACTAGTGTAGCTGACCCAATTAATTGAGATTAATTCCTAGTTGAGTTGTTTCGTTTCCTCCCTCCCCTCTTTGTTTCAGTGTTGGTTAAACTGCACCTATTGAAATGAGTTTCAGATTTCTCCACACCTTGCTGACAGAGAATGAGATTAATCACTGGCTTTCTTTAATTGGTTTGGATTGGATCTATTTTTCACATGGAACAGCTTTGAGGCTGTAAGCCTGTAACTGAACACGTACCTTCTAAAGTTTCAATGGATTCATCATTTTGTGGTTGTAAAGACCCCACGTGAACATAGATTTTGATAACACAAGTGGCCTGTTGCTTCAAATTTTGATGATTAAGCCAAACGTGCTCAAGCACCAACTATAACAGCTTGTGGCTACTTTTGATGATCTTCAAGATTTTTGGTCTTTAGTATTTTACTGAATTTTTCCAGCAATTGTTATTAATTCATTTATTTTGGCATTTTATGCAGGCTTTGGGGAACATTTCTGGCAGATGTGGTCATTCAAATGCTAGGAACTGATTATGCAAGAATCTTGCGAGCAATTTATGCTTTTGCACAGGTACTAATCTTTTCTAGTTTTGGCATGGCTGAAATGTCTTTTATGTAGTGGACCCAAACTTGACAGTCAAATTAAACTAATACAAATGAAATGTTGCGGATATTAGACAACCAGCTTCCTCTTTGAGAAGAAAATTTAGATGTGCACTTTACACCCAAACATAAACAGTAAACAAACCAGGTTACCGTCCAATCTATATGAAGTTAATTGAGTTTTTATTGGTTTTACTTCAGATCCGTATCACTCGCACATACAGGTTACCGCCTGATTACTGAAAAGCCTTGGAATTTTGGGAGGTAAATGTGGATGGTCATCATTTTAAGAAGAGATTTGTGGTCGAGATTAATTACTCTGTATGTATGTACATATAGTTTTGCAGTTAAACTACCAGTCTGCTTGTGTTGATAATTTTTGCATGTGTAAGAAGTAACAGTAAAAGCTGAAAAGATGATGTACTCTGTGGTGCTAAATTGATTGAGAAGTGTGGATCTGCTGTTTCTATTTGCGTCTGCATATCTTTGGCAAGCAAGAGAATTTGAATTTTTATTTTAAGAGCAGAAGAATAAGATGCAGACTAGTTGATGATGCATGGAACCTGGAAGAGAAAATCATGAAGTTTTGGGTAGCTAGGGTAGGATAGGGCCTAGGGGTCGCCATCCCAAAGTTGGTGGAGGGACTTGTAAGGTCCAACCTCGTAAACAAAGTCTCCTGCATACAACCTGCGCTGGTGAATTTGGTTGATCTTGTTCATTTCATATTCACCTAATTCCCAATCGAATATTTCCAGGTTCTGCTTCATCCTCTCCTTGTTGAAACTCCTTGCTGGATGATGGATCTCAGTATGATCTGTATATACAATATATAATTACTAAATTAATATATAGCAGGAAATTTATCAACTAAATTAATATATAAAAATGATAGGGAATACCTGTGGCAGAGTCTTCCCTTTTGCAGCAGCGAGGTCCTCAATAATGGTATAATAATCTATCCCGGTATTGGAAGCCGAGGAGGAAGCTCCATAAACTCCCAAGGGAGAAAACGCACTCACATACTTCAGACCCAGCTTCCTTCTCATGAATATACATACAAAGATTGTTTGCATTTATTTTCGCATAATTTTGAATACAAGTAATAGTCTAAACTACTCTAAATTAATTTAATCTACAGGGAAGAGACTCAAAAGTTGAACACACAAAACACAAATAAATACACAAATGTTGATAGGCTCTAAATATACAGTAAGTAATAGTAGTAGAGAGAAAGTGGTACTTAGTACTTACTTGAGTGTGGTGTTGAGGGCAGGGAGAATAAGATTGGGAGGCATCTGTGCACCATAGCTTGGAAGTAATGAAGATTTCATCATGACTCTTGATGAGATCGAGCGCCTGGACGACAGCTCGACCAATGGCTTGTTCGGATTGATAGAAAGCGGCAGTATCAAAATGGTGGTAGCCTACCTCAATGGCGGCCATGAGAATGGGGAGCAGGACATCCGTTGGTGTTGGAGGCAACTTACCAGTCCCTAAACCCAGCAAGCACCGGCATCTTATGCCCTGAAATTAGTACCACTTCTGGGTCTTTCTTAATTTTCTCCTCCATTACTGGCTGACTCTCCTGATCTTGATGAGATTCAGTTTTGTTTTGATCACCAGTAGGACTAGTTAACTAGCTAATTAAGCTATAGCTAGCTTAGCTAGCTACTAATTAAGTAATTAAGGAGTCTCCCACCAGTTTCAGCTATGACTTTGAGGTTCTCGCTTGGGAAATTGTGGATTAATAATAATAGTACACATGATCCATCCTTCCATGAAAGTACTAGCAAAATCAAACATCAGTCGGCATGGTCCCTTGATTAATTAATAATGGATGATGCACATGACTACCAACCACGTTCAACAACTATTGTTCATCGAGTTTAGCCGCGTGGCTATACTCTATACACAGAATATTTTAAAAGTATAGCCGATTGGCTATACTCTATCTCTATTTTAAAAGAAAGTTTTACCGAACGGCTATACTCCATAAATTCTCTATTTTAAAAGAGCGTATCGCCGCATGGCTATACTCCGTAAAAAGAATATTTTAGAGTGACTACACGCCATAAATAGAATATTTTACGAGTATAGCCGCTAGGCTATTCCGTTTTTAAAGACGTTCTCACAACAATTCGAGACCCTTCCTTGATATGTAGCTGAAGAGATGAATGTCCATATCAATCTCAAAGTAGTTAGGACCCTGCATGTGAGAGAGCTTGATAAAGTCAAACAACATGGTTTTTATGTTTCATCTTCTTAACACTCAGCAACATAAATGTTCAATGTTTACCTTGTAAAAATTGTGCCGGGGGCGTGAAAGAACTGGTTTGTCGTTATATGCATGTACAAGCTTCTTCTCAGCAGAACTTCGACTGAGATCTTCAGGATTTACCACCCCAGCCAAGATCTTTAGTCTTTCTCTGAACGGTAGGAAGGGTCATAATGATGTGTGTACCATCTATATGGCTCCACAACAATTGGGCAATCCAGAGGCTTCTTCAAGTTTGGACTTTATTTCTTCCATTCTGTTGGAATCATGTGTCAGCCATGTGTCAACTATCTTAGAAGTCTGTACCTGATACATTTTTGAAGCAGGAAAATTTTCAATCATGGTCTGCAAAGTTGCCTTGGGGAATAGTTGCTGTACGCTGAATATTCCTCTTTTGCTTAGCGAGTTAGCAAGTTCAACATTCATGCATGGCATCATCCATAAGGAAGAATCCCCATCAAACCATAAACCCTGAAAAGAACCCAAAAGATATGAGAAGAGGCTAGGAGGTGAAAACTCTTCTTTCTTAAGGAACAAATCATCCGAATGAAAGCGTAATTGTTAAAAATAATAATTAGATAAATCAAAGCTTCACCATTTTCAGAAACAATTAGTGTACCATTTAAGTGCAAGTGCTGCACATCGTCCTTACAGACAAAATATATATGCCTAAATTCCAAAGTGGCCCTTCTAACAACACTTTAATGAGTAAGTCATAATTTCTCAAGGGGTCTCTGAAGGTCTGGTTAACTCACATCCAACCCTTCCTCAGGCCAGATAAATCTAGGTAAATAAGACAAAAGAAGAGCTTCTCTTGGAGGACAAAGGAAAAAAAAACAGAACAAGATAAACAACACAGGAAAGAAGCATGGACTAACAACATTCATGGGTGCTCAGCATCCCCGATTAACATCTCTAACTAATCAACTGATATGCTAGCTGTAGAATGTAATAATATAAACAAGGCATTGCACTAGCACTGGTCTTTTATTTCTGACATTCAAAACCCCCAAACAACCTGAGTCCTAGTATTAATATTTGAGGTAAATATTCAGAAACTAATATGATTTGTGTTTATTGATTGTTAGACGGGCGGATTGTGATGGATATCTACTCCCATCTTTCTTGTAGAATCTGAGCAACTGTTGATTATAAAGGAAGAAAAGCATGTAATCTGATTCACGTATTTCTTTCTTTCCATTTTTTATTCTGTATAGTCATGTGTGACCAAAACCGTCATTTGCAATATATCTGTGATTGATATTGTAAAATCAACTTATCTCTTTGTTTTCCCATCATAATATTCTGTTCCCAGCAAGAGAATCAACACTTACCTAAATTTTTCCTGAAGAACAGCCGCTGCAATATACTCCTGCTAGAAACCTTTGTAAATATAAGAAAATTATCTTTTTATATTCTCTTTTCCTTGTGTGTTTTTCAGGAAAGACTCATGCTTACGGAGGTAAAACAGAAATGCCTGAATCTTGTTGTTTGCAAAAAGCTCCTCAACCATAGATCTATCTTTGTCATTCAGACCGACATGGTGTAATCCAATGCCAAACTGCAAGGTGTGCCTCAGGTTAAAGAACCATCTGCTGGGCTTCTTCTGGCATACTAAGAAACTGCCTTGGATGTTCATCTGACCAGCCCAGGCCGCCTAGATCCGCCCAGGCCGCCTAGATCAGCCCAGGCCGCCTAGGCGCCGCCTAGATCCGGCCAGGCCGCCTAGGCGCCGCCTAGGCCCCCCCTAACTCCCTGGGGTCGGTTTCCTCCGGCCTAGCGTCTAGGCTGATATCTCAAACACAGCTCAAAACCTGGAACGGGCTTGAAGTGGATGAGTTCGAGCCCGATTCGCCAGAATATTTTTAAAAACAGAGTATAGCCCAGCGGCTATACTATTTTTAAAAAAAATAAGAAAATACCGAGTAAAACCGCCCAGTAACGTTGTTCTCGCCATCATGCCAAGTAACAAGGAAAAAGAAACCAGAAGTTTATATTTTGAAATGAGAAGAATGTTTGGGATAATAAGGAAGACTTGGGGTACATCAATATCAGGTATAGTTTTCATTGACAATTGAGATTAGGAAGACTTGAGATCAGGTAAAGTCCTTTTCTATCTGTCTCTGGCAGCTGGTATAGTTTGGATAGAATTAATTTACACCAATATCAGGTGATTTTCTTGACAATAGTTTATTCATATCGAATATGTATAGTGCATTAGCAGGTGCTCATGTTTAAGAGTATTTTTTAGCAATATCCTGGAGGTGGGAGAACAGCTTTACTGGGCTAGACAACAAACATGAACATGTGATCAGAACCATTTATCACTTTGACTTCATCTGGTGGATTTAACTATGCTACGAATTAGATTTCTTCGCCTATCCTTGTTGAGGAAAAAAATTGGAAATTCTATACACAGAATCTAAATTACCTTAACTACAAAGCTTGTTCTTCTATTCCTTCACTGCTCAATGTAACAACGTTCATCCACAGTGCATTCACTCCTTAAAAATCTCCATATATGGCCTCAAAGAGTCATGAGGATCTCAAAGAACTCTTTCCACCATTGTCTGACTGTGGCCCAGTTGCCTGACTCAAAGAAACTCAAAGAGTTTTCGTCGAGATTTGGCCTCATTGGTTGGCAAGATCTCATTTTATCACTTCAACTCAAAGGAATAAATGATGCTCTGCAAAAATCTGTGCTGATAAGTTCATTCTTTTAGAAGTTTATTTCTCTTCCTCAAAACAGAGTTCCTGAAATCTTGTTAAGCTGCAAGCAAAGAGCAACCAGTTTAGTTCGGATAAGTCGTGATCACGAGGAACGAATGAAACTAAAAGTGAAAGAAAGAAGTTGACTGTAGTAAATTCAAAATAAAATCAAACCCTATAGTAAGAGTAATCACTAGTTTACTGGGAAGCATAATGAAACTCATTTCAAAGAGACGTACCGGTTCAGAAGAACATTAGGATTGTAGGGAAACAGATTCTTTTGGTGTAGAACTTCAATAGAAATTTTAAGTGAAAGTAAGCACTCTTTGGCTTCTTTGAAATACTGTCCTCCATTTTGGGTGTGCTTGCAGCCATTTTCATTTTCTTCATCAGGTTCATCATCAAGAAATGTAAGATGATTTTTTGTTGGTGCAAGAGAATCCTCTCCCCAGGAACTCGAGACACCCAATGAAACTTTTCTTTTCTTGCAAAATGATTGATTTGTAGCTTGCCCACCCACTAGAAATTCCACAAATAAGCTCCATGAATCACACACTTTACGCAAGCACCTAAAAGAGAATGCATTAAGGACGGTAAGAAGCAAATGAAAGATACAAAGAGTTGCAATTAAAAACAACTGTCTGGGGTCAACCAAATTGATTCTTGTTTTGCTAATTAGTTAAGAAGTCATGTAAAAGCAGAGGGTTAATGTTTTATAGTTTAGTCACCGAGGTCAACACCAGAAAAATGCAGCCCACCACGGTTTAGATTTCATAAGTTAAGAGAAGGTGTAGAAAGAGAAAAGACCTTAAAAGATATTCTGCACAACTGATTCCGGTATCTTTTGAAATAAGGTAATCAAGAAGCACCTGATGGTCATAGCTCAACTGCAAAATAGGAAGAAAAAAGAAAACGCACAATGTCAGTGATACTTTTTTATTCTGCAACAGCTTATACTTCAAATTAACAACTAGGAGGCATGCCGAAGTGGAAATGCAGATACGTAAATGTCCAAGAGTGAGCATCTTGCCTCTAATAGGAAAAGATGGAACAAGAGTACAGGATTGAAAAGATCAGAGACACGGAAAAGTAAATTGCCATTCGAATCCTACAATGCAACCTTTTCCTTTTCATCCCTATATAAACAAAAAATCTTGTTAAAAGGAATCCATGACGATAACTTTTAAAACAATGGAAAACTAGGATATCAATTCCTTACTGTCTGCACAACAAGGTACACAAGGCAGATGCAAGAGCACTTTGAATAATACATCATCCTACAGTTCAAAAACAAGCCAAGAAATGAGGACATGAGTCTAAAAAACTGCAAGAAAAATACGACAAATGAAGAATACAGAGCTGCAATTTTAGTACGTGAAATTGTTGAATAAGATGATGCATTCAGATAGACAAAACAAAATATGAATACAGTTTTTCTTTTTTTGGGTCTGGGTGAAAAGATTGCCTATTTTGCTTATATCACGTTGCATATAAACATAGACAAAAAAACTCCTAGTTTCAAAGATAAAGAAGACATACCTCTTTGATATACAGTCGGATGAAGGATTCGGCAAAGTCAACACATTCTACAAAATACATTTCATGGCCCACTGTCATATTAGCTGGAAGATGCCCTTGAAGCCATATATAAAGCTCCAAGAGACCTTTCTTTCTTAGACAGTAACATTAGGATTCTAGTACTAGAAAAAAATCAATAAAGCAGAAAGGCATTGGTGAGTAATGCCAATGCGCCTCCCTCCACTAACCGACCTCTCCCTGCATGCGTGTTGACGACTAATTTATCCTTTCCTTTTCTTTACCCCAACCAAGACCACCAGGAATTATAAATCTCTCATTCCCTCTTCATTTGCCGCCCAATTCTCACTCTCTCAACAACAGAAACACAGTTTTCTATCTCTTCCTTTCACTCCACACGAAACGAACCCCTCATTTCTTATGCCTTTCCTTATTTTATGTCACCTTTCCTCCTTCTCACACACTATATACATGTCACCTTTGCTCCTTCGCACCAGCAAGCTTCGTCTGTCTTCATTTGGTAAAAAAAAACAAGGACACGACCCGCCCAGGCCGCCTGGATCCTCCCAGGCCCCCTAGGCGCCGCCTAGATCCTCCAAGGCCGCCTAGGCTCCGCCTAGATCCTCCCAGGCCGCCTAGGCCCCCCCTATCTCCCTGGTGTCGGTGTCCTCCCGCCTAGCGCCTGGGCCGATATCTCGAACACTGCTCAAAACCTGGAATGGGCTTGCTCTGTGCCCTAGACATTCGTAGTGATGAGTTCGAGTGCGATTCGCCAGAATTTTTTTTTACCGAGTATAGCCGAACGGCTATAATATTTTTAAAAAAATTAAGAAAATACCAAGTAAAGCCGCCCGGCAACATTGTTTTTAAAGAATTAGGTACAAACCGGTATAGCCGCACGGCTGTACTATTTTTAAAATAAAATTCGGAAAAAACCTAGTATAGCCGTGTGGAAGTACTTTTTTAAAAAGAAATTTTAAACAAAAAAGTACAGCCGATCGGCTATACTATTTTCCAAAAAATATGAACCACCATTCTAACCTTTCTAAGAGAATGGATTCATATTCATAGGAATCTTTGGATCTACCATATGAACCACCTTTGGCTACCATTTTTTGCTCTTATTGTTCCTTCTTTTTGTGTAAAATTTGAATTTTATAACTATTGTGCACGAATTATAATAATTTGAGAAAATTTTGATAAATCACATCAACATGTCATGTGGATATGTACACAAGCAATAAAATAACTTCTCAAGTGAGTCAGCGAATTACTAAAGTATTTTCATGATCACCAATTTATTGATTAGATTTAGCACTCCATACATAAATTTGTTTTGATAAGGATCCATGAACGTAATATTTTAAACGTATAGCCGCACGGCTATACCCTTGAAATATCATCATCTAAAAATCTCTTTTTTAATTACTTTATTTAGTAGTTATGTTTTAATTATTATTTACTTAGTGAATAATTAGTATTTAAGTATTTTATTAAAGAAAAAAAATTAAAAAAACCAATTACTATTTATTAAGTAATATCTTTATGAAGTTAATTAAAATATTTAATACTAATTATTCACAAAAAAAATAATGATTAAAACATAATTACTAATGAAAGTAATTAAATACGGCTAAGATTTTATTGAATTACTAGAAAGAAAATTTAAAATAAAAATGTACTGACCTAAAGATACTAAGTTTATACTTATTATTTAAAACAACCTCTGCCGAAGAACTTCCGTTGGCATAGGTCTATCTCGGTGCAATTTTGCAGAATTAGACCTCTTTCGACGACATTTCGTCGGCCTAGGAAGCTTTCCTTGGGAGAGGTCTAATCCGGCAAATAGTTGTTGGCATAGACCTATGGTCTTCTTGCTATTTATTTATTTTTTGTTAAATATAAAATTAGTTTCTTTACTTTTATTTTTTGCCCAACTTCTTTAATTTCACATATATGTCATTAAGTAATATCTTTGCCTTTTTTAATTACTTTAATTAGTAATTATATTATTATTTGAATATAAACACTTCGCTATACTGTTTAAATATTCGAATATATTTAGGGAATATGACAAAGGGCACCTAAAAAGATAAGCAACGTCATTATATCACTTCTCATACACATGCAACGCACAAACAAGACATAAATTTTCTCTCAACCCTAAATGCACACAGACAAACAAAGCCAGAACGTAAATACATACCATGTCTAATTGATTCATTATCTCAAGGCTCAGCTTTGCTACAGAGACATCCATATTTTTATTGTTATATTCAAATCGTATAGCCGGGCGGCTACACTGGTAAAATAGAATATTTAACAGTATAGCCGCTTGGCTATATTCTATATGTTTAAAAGAGAGTATCGCCGCACGGCTATATTCCGTAAAAAGAATATTTTAAAAGTATGGCCGCACGACTATACTCCATAAAAAGAATATTTTAGAGTGACTACACGCCATAAATAGAATATTTACGAGTATAACCGCTCGGCTATTCCGTTTTTAAAGACATTCTCATAACAATTTGAGACCCTTCCTTGATATGTAGATAAAGAAGACATACCTCTTTGATATATAGTTGGATGAAGGATTTGGCAAAGTCAACACATTCTACAAAATACATTTCATGGTCCACTGTCATATTAGCTGGAAGATGGCCTTCAAGCTCCAAGAGACCTTTCTTTCTTAGACAGTAACATATTAGGCTTCTAGTACTAGAAAGAAATCAATAAAGCAGAAAGGCATTGGTGAGCAATGCCAATGCGCCTCCCTCCACTAACCGACCTCTCCCTGCATGCGTGTTGACGACTAATAATTTATCCTTTCCTTTTCTTTACCCCAACCAAGACCACCAGGAATTATAAATATCTCATCCCCTCTTCATTTGCCTCCCAATTCTCACTCTCTCAACAACAGAAACACAGTTTTCTATCAATTCCTTTCACTCCACACCAAACAAACCCCTAATTTCTTATGCCTTTCCTTATTTTATGTCGCCTTTCCACCTTCTCACACACTATATACATGTCACCTTTGCTCCTTCGCACCAGCAAGTTTCGTCTGTCTTCATTTGGAAAAAAAAAGGACACGACCCGCCCTGGTGCCCAGGCCGCCTAGGCACCGCCTAGATCCTCCCAGGCCGCCTAGGCGCCTCCCAGATCCTCCCAGGCCGCCTAGGCGCCGCCCAGATCCTCCCAGGCCGCCTAGGCCCCCACTAACTCCCTGGTGTCGGTGTTCTCCCGCCTAGCGCATGGGCCGATATCTCGAACACTGCTCAAAACCTGGAACGGGCTTGCTCTGTGCCCTAGACGTTCGTAGTGATGAGTTCGAGTCCGATTCGCCAGAAATTTTTTTTTAAAAAAACAAACCGAGTATAGCCGACCGGCTATACTATTTAAAAAAAATTAAAGCAGCCCGGCAATATCGTTTTCATAAAATTAGGTGCAAACGGGTATAGCCGTGCGGCTGTACTATTTCCAAAAAAAAAGAATAAAACTAGCCGCCGTGGAAGTACTTTTTTAAAAATAAATTTGGAACCAAAAAAAAGTATAGCCGCGAGCGGCTATATTAATTTTCAAAAAATATGAACCACCATTCTAACCTTTCTAAGAGAATGGATTCATCTTCATAGGAATCTTTGGATCTACCATATGAACCACCTTTGGCTACCATTTTTTCTGTTATTGTTCCTTCTTTTTGTGTAAAATAACGAATTTTATAACTATTGTGCACGAATTATAATAATTTGAGAAAATTTTGATAAATCACATCAGTATGTCATGTGGATAGATACACAAGGAATAAAATAACTTCTCCAGTGAGTCAGCGAATTACTAAAGTATTTTCATGATCACCAATTTATTGATTCGATTTAGCACTTCGGACATAAATTTTTTTTGGTAAGGCTCCACTAAAATAATATTTTAAACGTATAGCCGCACGGCTATACCCTTGAAATATCATAATCTGAATTTCTCCTTTTTAATTACTTTATTTAGTAGTTATGTTTTAATTATTATTTACTTAGTGAATAATTAGTATTTAAGTATTTTATTAAATTAAAAGACAAAAAAAAACCAATTACTATTTATTAAGTATATTTATTAAGTTAATTAAAATATTTAATACTAATTATTCACAAAACAAATAATGATTAATGAAAGTAATTAAATAAGGCTAAGATTTTATTGAATTACTGAAAAGAAAATTTAAAATAAAAATGTACCGACCTAAGTGTACAAAGTTTATACTTATTATTTAAAAAAACCTATGCCGACGAACTTTCGTTGGCACAGGTCTATCTTGGTGCAATTTTGCCGGATTAGGAAACTTTCCTTGGGAGAGGTCTAATCCGGCAAATAGTTGCCGGCATAGACCTGTGGTCTTCTTGCCTTTTATAATTACTTTAATTAGTAATTATATTATTATTCGATTATAGACACTTCGCTGTACTGTTTAAATATTCGAATATATTTAGGAAACATGACAAAGGGCACCTAAAAAGATAAGCAACGTCATTATATCACTTCTCATACACATGCAACACACAAACAAGGCATAAATTTTCTCTCAACCCTAAGCACACACAAAAGAACAAAGCCAGAACATAAATACATACCATGTCCAATTGATTCATTATCTCAAGGCTTAGCTTTGCTACAGAGAAATCCATATTTTTATTGTTATATTTAAAGCGCATGGCCGCAAGGCTATATTGGTAAAATAGAATATTTAAAACGTATAGCCGCGTGGCTATACTCTATAAACGGAATATTTAAACGTATAGCCGCTTGGCTATACTCTATATGCCATTAATAGAACCGTGCGGCTATACTCTCTATTTTAAAAGAGAGTATGGCCGCGCGGCTATACTCCGTAAAAAGAATATTTTAAAAGAATGGCCGCGCGACTATACTCCATAAAAAGAATATTTTAGAGTGACTACACGCCATAAATAGAATATTTTACGAGTATAGCCGCTAGGCTATTCCGTTTTTAAAGACGTTCTCATAACAATTTGAGACCCTTCCTTGATATGTAGCTGAAGAGATGAATGTCCATATCAATCTCAAAGTAGTTAGGACCCTGCATGTGTGAGAGCTTGATAAAGTCAAACAACATGGTTTTTATGTTTCATCTTCTTAACACTCAGCAACATAGATGTTCAATGTTTACCTTGTAAAAATTGTGCCGGGGGCGTGAAAGAACTGGTTTGTCGTTATATGCATGTACAAGCTTCTTCTCAGCAGAACTCCGACTGAGATCTTCAGGATTTACCACCCCAGCCAAGATCTTTAGTCTTTCTCTGAAAGGTACAGTGGAGTCCTTTGCGAATCCTTTAACTTTTTTTGTCACATCGTCAACCATTTACTAAAAGCATCATTCAAATATGCCAACAGACTGAGTGTTCCAATAGAACATAAGATCATTTCCATCAGGGAGAGTACATCATAATAATGTACATGCCTATCCAAATGGATGAAGTTGCATACAAAACGAAGTTACCTTAATGCTGTCCTGGAATTGAGGAGAGATGTCTTTATCAAAATTCTCAGAAACTTTGAAATACATTACAAGACTCATCCCCTCTCCATCACTATCACTAAGAAACATTGCAGCAGGATAAGTAGGCAACTGCAACAAGGTGCAGAGCAATATCATTAGATATTGCCAAAATATAACAAACTAAACATAACAAGATAAACCAATTCTGAAAAAATACCTGTATGTTTACAATGACCACTTTCCCATTTGCTTTCACTTTGGGAAGCTCAGGATGCTGGGCAATGTGATGTATCTTTTTGGGGCATACAGACACATCAACACCTATTGGAGTACATGGACTGTAGTTCGGAGCAGTTGAGTTTCGTTATCTTTGGATGGTAGACCAACACAAAATAATATTATCATTAGCAAGGCAGAACAGAGTAATTAGTTGCAAATGTCTAAATTCAGTTCAGGTTGGTTTTGACAAAAGAAAAAACCAAAGTCATACTTGAAATAGTTCTTGCCACAAAATTTAAAAGTTGAGGGTGGAATCTTATACCAAGATCCTGAAGTCGGCTTCTCTACTCTACAACATGGAATGATATATCCTGGTCTAGGCCGAAACAGAAACCTTTTTGATTGACCTGTGGATATATCGTTCAAATAATGTTCGGTAATCTACATGTACATCAATCCCAATATTCTAAGTTTTCTTTCTATTCAAAGAAAATTGAATTATTTGAATGCTTACATTGTTCAATGGTTTCTTCTGCATCACAGGATCTCCTTTTAAAAGAAAGTCTGGAAACGACTGATGGCTTTCTCTGGGATTGCGGAACCAAACTCTGTGTGCACTTAGAATCTTATCGTTGAAACTTACAGAAGGTACCAATTGAGATAAGCCGGATTTCAGGGCATTGTCTTGAATTTTTTCATTAGAATCACGTCCATCCTCTGTAAGTCCTTTAAAGCTTCCATAAGAGTGATCTAATATATTCTTCCTCTTACTGCAAACTTCATCAGCCTTCCCTAAGTGAGAAAGCTCATAGCCTTGTGTATCAATAAGCGAAAACCGATTTGATTCCCTGAGCTCATCTTTGCCTCTGATTTTATCTGATTTACCTCCATCAATTATCATATAGCTTTGGTATTCTTCATACTTACACTCATTATCAACAAAGCGAGCAGATCTTTCATGCTGAAGTACTTGGCCACTTGAGATATTCCCAACTGGATTGCTTGCTAATGGAAAACCATCTGTAGAATAAGTGAAGAAAATTAAGAAAACAAAACAAAATCCTATTCCATAAGTACCTCAAGAAAAATTACTTTAGTAGTAATGACGTTTTGCAATCAAACAAGACCACAAGGCTTTCATTCTGTAATATGTAGTTACAGGCTGATGGCCAATACCTCCATGTATACTGATAAAGTCATCATCCGAGTCAGACTCCAGAATACTCACCGAGTCAAACCAAGCTTCCTCTTGGAAAATTACTGCAAATTAATAACTTTCAAAATATGAGATTCAAGAGCTATGAATTTTCTTGTCGGCACTATTGGTTGAAATTGAAAGATAGTTGAAATCTGATGAAAGAAAGCACACACCATTCGAATCATATTGACTATGGTGCCATTGCAGCTGGGTGAGATGGAATGTTGAATTAGAAACCTTAGATCTTTGTGAGTAGTTGTTGCACCATTCTTAAAGTCCACATGAACAAACTCATTGACAGCAAAGTCACTCAAGCGAGCTCCTGAATTACTATCTATTTTCTTGAAACTGGTATTTCTTTTCTTGGTACCATCTGAAGCGGAGCAGGTTGCCTATCTATGGCGTTTGATGACCCGCTGACTGTGTTTTTTCCATGGTTTAATATTTTTGGATTGGGTTGACATGCAACCAGCCATTGTGGCTTTTAAATCATGCAAGTCCCAACTACAATGATGCCTTCATCAAGTCCTCTCCAACCTGTGTGCCTACAAATGAAACAAAATACATCAGAGAAGATTAAAGGATTTCTAGAAAGCAGTTTCTATGATCACAAATAATCATGAGAACACAATCAATTCTATCATCATGAGACTGTTTCAGTAATTTATGGCTCAAACGCTAGAATAGTTAACCACCTTAACACTTGGAAATTATTAGAATCAAACAGATGACACACAGAGGTCTCTATGTTTAATGAGTATGGTGGCACTATCAGAAAACACCTTGGTAGGGAGGGAAATGTAAAGCTCGCCATTTTGGCCTTTTAATGGTATAGCCGGACGGCTATACTATTTAAATATGATATTTAAAAGGTATCGCCGCACGGCTATATTTTTTTTTTTTTTTTTTCTCCTTCTCCTGATTTTCGTTTATCAGGTCGCTTTACAAGATCAGCTGGCTGCCTATATTCCACCTGTCATCTCTTTGAAGGAGTGTACAACATCACTTGAGAAGCATGTGCTTGCAAATGCCATATGGAAAGTAAGCTGGTTTCTATCTACATTGGGGATAAGCAGAAGACACCATAGAGGCTGATGGTCAGGTGCTTGAGTTGTGGGAAACCACTGATCAGGATGCCCGCATTGATTTGATGGTTGACAAGGGCTAGAAGGTGGACGCTGTAGCAACGGACCACAGTCAGACTGAAGCAGTACAGGAACACAAGATTAAATATTCCTCTTCAGAATCATTGGTTGGAAAGGAATTGGGCGTGGACAAATTAGGGATCTCTAAGAGATTTACAGAGCCCCGTCAAGAAGGCAACAAGAGAAGGATTCTAGAAAGACTTGATTCTGATGTACAAAAGTTGACAAACCTTCAAATAACCGTGGAAGACCTGAAGAGGAAGGTGGAGATTACTGAAAAGAGCAAAAAGGGCAAAGGTATTGAATTTGAAAACGTGAAGGGGCAGCTGGAAGAAGCTGAAGAGGCCATCACTAAGTTGTAATATATCTCCTGTCAATTCTTATATCGTGAAGTAAACAACATACCAAGATGATGCTCGGAAGTTTCCGCTTATCGGATCTCCACATGACCTTGTTACGGATTCTCCAAGTGCCCTTTAACTGCGAGAATGCCATTACCGCAAGAGACCTTGCAGCCCCATGCACGGCATTGAAAGCGGAAATGGAAGCTGGGAGGCCATTGCTTTCATAAGGAGTTATGAGCCAGGGAGGCAGAGTATAGCCAACCCACCAACTAAGTATTCTCTAATCTCTGCTCCAGATAAAGTTCTAAAATTTTCATTCAAACGCTGTCGACCTTCACAGAGCTTGAAAAATCCTGAACACATTAAAAGTCTAGATACCGTCATTCCCCCAGGCCAACCAGCTGTTACAATGTCAAGAAACCTCATCTCATGGTCAACAATTCCCTGCAGAAAGAGCATGATGTGGTTGTCCTCTAGGTCACAACAATCGTCTGATGTTTGAACGGTAGGAAGCGTCATAATGATGTGTGTACCATCTATATGGCTCCACAACAATTGGGCAATCCAGAGGCTTCTTCAAGTTTGGACTTTATTTCTTCCATTCTGTTGGAATCATGTGTCAGCCATGTGTCAACTATCTTAGAAGTCTGTACCTGATACATTTTTGAAGCAGGAAAATTTTCAATCATGGTCTGCAAAGTTGCCTTGGGGAATAGTTGCTGTACGCTGAATATTCCTCTTTTGCTTAGCGAGTTAGCAAGTTCAACATTCATGCATGGCATCATCCATAAGGAAGAATCCCCATCAAACCATAAACCCTGAAAAGAACCCAAAAGATATGAGAAGAGGCTAGGAGGTGAAAACTCTTCTTTCTTAAGGAACAAATCATCCGAATGAAAGCGTAATTGTTAAAAATAATAATTAGATAAATCAAAGCTTCACCATTTTCAGAAACAATTAGTGTACCATTTAAGTGCAAGTGCTGCACATCGTCCTTACAGACAAAAATATATATGGCTAAATTCCAAAGTGGCCCTTCTAACAACACTTTAATGCGTAAGTCATAATTTCTCATGCTTTGGGGGTCTCTGAAGGTCTGGTTAACTCACATCCAACCCTTCCTCAGGCCAGATAAATCTAGGTAAATAAGACAAAAGAAGAGCTTCTCTTGGAGGACAAAGGAAAAAAAAACAGAACAAGATAAACAACACAGGAAAGAAGCATGGACTAACAACATTCATGGGTGCTCAACATCCCCGATTAACATCTCTAACTAATCAACTGATATGCTAGCTGTAGAATGTAATAATATAAACAAGGCATTGCACTAGCACTGGTCTTTTATTTCTGACATTCAAAACCCCAAACAACCTGAGTCCTAGTATTAATATTTGAGGTAAATATTCAGAAACTAATATGATTTGTGTTTATTGATTGTTAGACGGGCGGATTGTGATGGATATCTACTCCCATCTTTCTTGTAGAATCTGAGCAACTGTTGATTATAAAGGAAGAAAAGCATGTAATCTGATTCACGTATTTCTTTCTTTCCATTTTTTATTCTGTATAGTCATGTGTGACCAAAACCGTCATTTGCAATATATCTGTGATTGATATTGTAAAATCAACTTATCTCTTTGTTTTCCCATCATAATATTCTGTTCCCAGCAAGAGAATCAACACTTACCTAAATTTTTCCTGAAGAACAGCCGCTGCAATATACTCCTGCTAGAAACCTTTGTAAATATAAGAAAATTATCTTTTTATATTCTCTTTTCCTTGTGTGTTTTTCAGGAAAGACTCATGCTTACTGAGGTAAAACAGAAATGCCTGAATCTTGTTGTTTGCAAAAAGCTCCTCAACCATAGATCTATCTTTGTCATTCAGACCGACATGGTGTAATCCAATGCCAAACTGCAAGGTGTGCCTCAGGTTAAAGAACCATCTGCTGGGCTTCTTCTGGCATACTAAGAAACTGCCTTGGATGTTCATCTGACCAGCCCAGGCCGCCTAGATCCGCCCAGGCCGCCTAGATCAGCCCAGGCCGCCTAGGCGCCGCCTAGATCCGGCCAGGCCGCCTAGGCCCCCCCTAACTCCCTGGGGTCGGTTTCCTCCGGCCTAGCGTCTAGGCTGATATCTCAAACACAGCTCAAAACCTGGAACGGGCTTGCTCTGTGCCATAGACGTTCGTAGTGATGAGTTCGAGCCCGATTCGCCAGAATATGTTTAAAAACCGAATATAGCCGAGCGGCTATACTATTTTAAAAAAAATTAAGAAAATACCGAGTAAAACCTAACGTTATTCTCGCCATCAGGCCAAGTAACAATGAAAAAGAAACCAGAAGTTTATATTTTGAAATGAGAGGAATGTTTGGGATAATAAGGAAGACTTGGGGTACATCAATATCAGGTATAGTTTTCTTGGACAATTGACATTAGGAAGACTTGAGATCAGGTAAAGTCCTTTTCTATCTGTCTCTGGCAGCTGGTATAGTTTGGATAGAATTAATTTACACCAATATCAGGTGATTTTCTTGACAATAGTTTATTCATATCGAATATGTATGGTGCATTAGCAGATGCTCATGTTTAAGAGTATTTTTTAGCAATATCCTGGAGGTTGGAGAACAGCTTACAACAAACATGAACATGTGATCAGAACCATTTATCACTTTGACTTCATCTGGTGGATTTAACTATGCTACGAATTAGATTTCTTCGCCTATCCTCGTTGAGGAAAAAAATTGGAAATTCTATACATAGAATCTAAATTACCTTAACTACAAAGCTTGTTCTTCTATTCCTTCACTGCTCAATGTAACAACGTTCATCCACAGTGCATTCACTCCTTAAAAATCTCCATATATTGCCTCAAAGAGTCATGAGGATCTCAAAGCACTCTTTCCAGCATTGTCTGACTGTGGCCCAGTTGCCTGACTCAAAGAAACTCAAAGAGTTTTCGTCGAGACTTGGCCTCATTGGTTGGCAAGATCTCATTTTATCACTTCAACTCAAAGGAATAAGTGATGCTCTGCAAAAATCTGTGCTGATAAGTTCATTCTTTTAGAAGTTTATTTCTCTTCCTCAAAACAGAGTTCCTGAAATCTTGTTAAGCTGCAAGCAAAGAGCAACCAGTTTAGTTCGGATAAGTCGTGATCACGAGGAACGAATGAAACTAAAAGTGAAAGAAAGAAGTTGACTGTAGTAAATTCAAAATAAAATCAAACCCTATAGTAAGAGTAATCACTAGTTTACTGGGAAGCATAATGAAACTCATTTCAAAGAGACGTACCGGTTCAGAAGAACATTAGGATTGTAGGGAAACAGATTCTTTTGGTGTAGAACTTCAATAGAAATTTTAAGTGAAAGTAAGCACTCTTTGGCTTCTTTGAAATACTGTCCTCCATTTGGGTGTGCTTGCAGCCATTTTCATTTTCTTCATCAGGTTCATCATCAAGAAATGTAAGATGATTTTTTGTTGGTGCAAGAGAATCCTCTCCCCAGGAACGAGACACCCAATGAAACTTTTCTTTTCTTGCAAAATGATTGATTTGTAGCTTGCCCACCCACTAGAAATTCCACAAATAAGCTCCATGAATCACACACTTTACGCAAGCACCTAAAAGAGAATGCATTAAGGACGGTAAGAAGCAAATGAAAGATACAAAGAGTTGCAATTAAAAACAACTGTCTGGGGTCAACCAAATTGAGTCTTGTTTTGCTAATTAGTTAAGAAGTCATGTAAAAGCAGAGGGTTAATGTTTTATAGTTTAGTCACCGAGGTCAACACCAGAAAAATGCAGCCCACCACGGTTTAGATTTCGTAAGTTAAGAGAAGGTGTAGAAAGAGAAAAGACCTTAAAAGATATTCTGCACAACTGATTCCGGTATCTTTTGAAATAAGGTAATCAAGAAGCACCTGATGGTCATAGCTCAACTGCAAAATAGGAAGAAAAAAGAAAATGCACAATGTCAGTGATACTTTTTATTCTGCAACAGCATATACTTCAAATTAACAACTAGGAGGCATGCCGAAGTGGAAATGCAGATACGTAAATGTCCAAGAGTGAGCATCTTGCCTCTAATTGGAAAAGATGGAACAAGAGTATAGGATTGAAAAGATCTGAGACACGGAAAAGTAAATTGCCATTCGAATCCTACAATGCAACCTTTTCCTTTTCATCCCTATATAAACAAAAAATCTTGTTAAAAGGAATCCATGACGATAACTTTTAAAACAATGGAAAACTAGGATATTAATTCCTTACTGTCTGCACAACAAGGTACACAAGGCAGATGCAAGAGCACTTTGAATAATTCATCATCCTACAGTTCAAAAACAAGCCAAGAAATGAGGACATGAGTCTAAAAAACTGCAAGAAAAATACGACAAATGAAGAATACAGAACTGCAATTTTAGTACGTGAAATTGTTGAATAAGATGATGCATTCAGATAGACAAAATAAAATATGAATACAGTTTTCTTTTTTTGGGTCTGGGTGAATAGATTGCCTATTTTGCTTATATCACGTTGCATATAAACATGGACAAAAAAACTCCTAGTTTCAAAGATAAAGAAGACATACCTCTTTGATATACAGTCGGATGAAGGATTTGGCAAAGTCAACACATTCTACAAAATACATTTCATGGTCCACTGTCAAATTAGCTGGAAGATGGCCTTCAAGCTCCAAGAGACCTTTCTTTCTTAGACAGTACATTAGGCTTCTAGTACTAGAAAGAAATCAATAAAGCAGAAAGGCATTGGTGATCAATGCCAATGCGCCTCCCTCCACTAACCGACCTCTCCCTGCATGCGTGTTGACGACTAATTTATCCTTTCCTTTTCTTTACCCCAACCAAGACCACCAGGAATTATAAATCTCTCATCCCCTCTTCATTTGCCTCCCAATTCTCACTCTCTCAACAACAGAAACACAGTTTTCTATCAATTCCTTTCACTCCACACCAAACAAACCCCTAATTTCTTATGCCTTTCCTTATTTTATGTCACCTTTCCACCTTCTCACACACTATATACATGTCACCTTTGCTCCTTCGCACCAGCAAGTTTCGTCTGTCTTCATTTGGAAAAAAAAAGGACACGACCCGCCCTGGTGCCCAGGCCGCCTAGGCACCGCCTAGATCTTTCCAGGCCGCCTAGGCGCCTCCCAGATCCTCCCAGGCCGCCTAGGCACCGCCCAGATCCTCCCAGGCCGCCTAGGCGCCGCCCAGATCCTCCCAGGCCGCCTAGGCCCCCCTTAACTCCCTGGTGTCGGTGTTCTCCCGCCTAGCGCCTAGGCCGATATCTGGAACACTGCTCAAAACCTGGAACGGGCTTGCTCTGTGCCCTAGACGTTCGTAGTGATGAGTTAGAGTCCGATTCGCCAGATTTTTTTTTTGAAAAACAAACCGAGTATAGCCGAACGGCTATACTATTTTTAAAAAACTTAAAGCAGCCAGGCAATACCGTTGTCATAAAATTAGGTACAAGCGGGTATAGCCGCGCGGCTGTACTATTTTAAAAAAACATTACCAAAAAACCTAGTATAGCCGCGTGGAAGTACTTTTTTTAAAATAAATTTGGAACCCAAATAAAGTATAGCCGATCGGCTGTACTATTTAAAAAAAAATTGGAAAAAACCTAGTATATCGCGTGGAAGTACTTTTTTAAAAATAAATTTGGAACCAAAAAAAAGTATATTTTCAACAAATATGAACCACCATTCTAACCTTTCTAAGAGAATGGATTCATCTTCATAGGAATCTTTGGATCTACCATATGAACCACCTTTGGCTACCATTTTTTCTGTTATTGTTCCTTCTTTTTGTGTAAAATAACGAATTTTATAACTATTGTGCACGAATTATAATAATTTGAGAAAATTTTGATAAATCACATCAGTATGTCATGTGGATAGATACACAAGCAATAAAATAACTTCTCAAGTGAGTCAGCGAATTACTAAAGTATTTTCATGATCACCAATTTATTGATTCGATTTAGCACTCCGGACATAAATTTGTTTTGGTAAGGCTCCACTAAAATAATATTTTAAACGTATAGCCGCACGGCTATACCCTTGAAATATCATAATATGAATTTCTCCTTTTTAATTACTTTATTTAGTAGTTATGTTTTAATTATTATTTACTTAGTGAATAATTAGTATTTAAGTATTTTATTAAATTAAAAGACAAAAAAAAACCAATTACTATTTATTAAGTTAATTAAAATATTTAATACTAATTATTCACAAAACAAATAATGATTAAAACATTACTAATGAAAGTAATTAAATAAGGCTAAGATTTTATTGAATTACTGAAAAGAAAATTTAAAATAAAAATGTACCGACCTAAAGATACTAAGTTTATACTTATTATTTAAAAAAACCTATGCCGACGAACTTCCGTTGGCACAGGTCTATCTTGGTGCAATTTTGCCGGATTAGGAAACTTTCCTTGGGAGAGGTCTAATCCGGCAAATAGTTGCCGGCATAGACCTGTGGTCTTCTTGCCTTTTATAATTACTTTAATTAGTAATTATATTATTATTCGATTATAGACACTTCGCTGTACTGTTTAAATATTCGAATATATTTAGGAAATATGACAAAGAGCACCTAAAAAGATAAGCAACGTCATTATATCACTTCTCATACACATGCAACACACAAACAAGGCATAAATTTTCTCTCAACCCTAAGCACACACAAAAGAACAAAGCCATAACGTAAATACATACCATGTCCAATTGATTCATTATCTCAAGGCTTAGCTTTGCTACAGAGAAATCCATATTTTTATTGTTATATTTAAAGCGCATGGCCGCGAGGCTATATTGGTAAAATAGAATATTTAAAACGTATAGCCGCGTGGCTATACTCTATAAACGGAATATTTAAACGTATAGCCGCTTGGCTATACTCTATATGCCATTAATAGAACCGTGCGGCTATACTCCCTTTTTTAAAAGAGAGTATGGCCGCGCGGCTATACTCCGTAAAAAGAATATTTTAAAAGTATGGCCGCGCGACTATACTCCATAAAAAGAATATTTTAGAGTGACTACACGCCATAAATAGAATATTTTACGAGCATAGCCGCTAGGCTATTCCGTTTTTAAAGACGTTCTCATAACAATTTGAGACCCTTCCTTGATATGTAGCTGAAGAGATGAATGTCCATATCAATCTCAAAGTAGTTAGGACCCTGCATGTGAGAGAGCTTGATAAAGTCAAACAACATGGTTTTTATGTTTCATCTTCTTAACACTCAGCAACATAAATGTTCAATGTTTACCTTGTAAAAATTGTGCCGGGGGCGTGAAAGAACTGATTTGTCGTTATATGCATGTACAAGCTTCTTCTCAGCAGAACTCCGACTGAGATCTTCAGGATTTACCACCCCAGCCAAGATCTTTAGTCTTTCTCTGAAAGGTACAGTGGAGTCCTTTGCGAATCCTTTAACTTTTTCTGTCACATCGTCAACCATTTTCTAAAAGCATCATTCAAATATACCAACAGACTGAATGTTCCAATAGAACATAAGATCATTTCCATCAGGGAGAGTACATCATAATAAAGTACATGCCTATCCAAATGGATGAAGTTGCATACAAAACGAAGTTACCTTAATGCTGTCCTGGAATTTAGGAGAGATGTCTTTTTCAAAATTCTCAGAAACTTTGAAATACATTACAAGACTCATCCCTTCTCCATCACTATCACTAAGAAACATTGCAGCAGGATAAGCAGGCAACTGCAACAAGGCGCAGAGCAATATCATTAGATATTGCCAAAATATAACAAACTAAACATAACAAGATAAACCAATTCTGAAAAAAAATACCTGTATGTTTACAATGACCACTTTCCCATTTGCTTTCACTTTGGGAAGCTCAGGATGCTGGGCAATGTGATGTATCTTTTTGGGGCATACAGACACATCAACACCTATTGGAGTACATGGACTGTAGTTCGGAGCAGTTGAGTTTCGTTATCTTTGGATGGTAGACCAACACAAAATAATATTATCATTAGCAAGGCAGAACAGAGTAATTAGTTGCAAATGTCTAAATTCAGTTCAGGTTGGTTTTGACAAAAGAAAAAACCAAAGTCATACTTGAAATAGTTCTCGCCACAAAATTTAAAAGTTGAGGGTGGAATCTCATACCAAGATCCTGAAGTCGGCTTCTCTACTCTACAACATGGAATGATATATCCTGGTCTAGGCCGAAACAGAAACCTTTTTGATTGACCTGTGGATATATCATTGAAATGTTCGGTAATCTACATGTACATCAATCCCAATATTCTAAGTTTTCTTTCTATTCAAAGAAAATTGAATTATTTGAATGCTTACATTGTTCAATGGTTTCTTCTGCATCACAGGATCTCCTTTTAAAAGAAAGTCTGGAAACGACTGATGGCTTTCTCTGGGATTGCGGAACCAAACTCTGTGTGCACTTAGAATCTTATCGTTGAAACTTACAGAAGGTACCAATTGAGATAAGCCGGATTTCAGGGCATTGTCTTGAATTTTTTCATTAGAATCACGTCCATCCTCTGTAAGTCCTTTAAAGCTTCCATAAGAGTGATCTAATATATTCTTCCTCTTACTGCAAACTTCATCAGCCTTCCCTAAGTGAGAAAGCTCATAGCCTTGTGTATCAATAAGCGAAAACCGATTTGATTCCCTGAGCTCATCTTTGCCTCTGATTTTATCTGATTTACCTCCATCAATTATCATATAGCTTTGGTATTCTTCATACTTACACTCATTATCAACAAAGCGAGCAGATCTTTCATGCTGAAGTACTTGGCCACTTGAGATATTCCCAACTGGATTGCTTGCTAATGGAAAACCATCTGTAGAATAAGTGAAGAAAATTAAGAAAACAAAACAAAATCCTTTTCCAATAAGTACCTCAAGAAAAATTACTTTAGTAGTAATGACGTTTTGCAATCAAACAAGACCACAAGGCTTTCATTCTGTAATATGTAGTTACAGGCTGATGGCCAATACCTCCATGTATACTGATAAAGTCATCATCCGAGTCAGACTCCAGAATACTCACCGAGTCAAACCAAGCTTCCTCTTGGAAAATTACTGCAAATTAATAACTTTCAAAATATGAGATTCAAGAGCTATGAATTTTCTTGTCAGCACTATTGGTTGAAATTGAAAGATAGTTGAAATCTGATGAAAGAAAGCACACACCATTCGAATCATATTGACTATGGTGCCATTGCAGCTGGGTGAGATGGAATGTTGAATTAGAAACCTTAGATCTTTTGTGAGTAGTTGTTGCACCATTCTTAAAGTCCACATGAACAAACTCATTGACAGCAAAGTCACTCAAGCGAGCTCCTGCATTACTATCTATTTTCTTGAAACTGGTATTTCTTTTCTTGGTACCATCTGAAGCGGAGCAGGTTGCCTATCTATGGCGTTTGATGACCCGCTGACAGTGTTTTTTCCATGGTTTAATATTTTTGGATTGGGTTGACATGCAACCAGCCATTGTGGCTTTTAAATCATGCAAGTCCCAACTACAATGATGCCTTCATCAAGTCCTCTCCAACCTGTGTGCCTACAAATGAAACAAAATACATCAGAGAAGACTAAAGGATTTCTAGAAAGCAGTTTCTATGATCACAAATAATCATGAGAACACAATCAATTCTATCATCATGAGACTGTTTCAGTAATTTATGGCTCAAACGCTAGAATAGTTAACCACCTTAACACTTGGAAATTATTAGAATCAAACAGATGACACACAGAGGTCTCTATGTTTAATGAGTATGGTGGCACTATCAGAAAGCACCTTGGTTAGAAGCGACTGGTAAATTGAAGAACTACACTACTTATTCAATCAATTTGTAGATGAAAATTTGTGCAATCATCATAAAAATCAAATGTCTGATTCAAACCTTCTAAAACAAAGTGGGATGTCTCTATCCCAGTCCCATAGATAAGCAACTTATCTATCTTAAGCCCCAAATCTTTAGTTCTGGCTCACTAGAACACAAACATGACCAGAAAACAAAAAGATAGTACAACCACCTCAATAAAAACTCAACAAAACCTTAGTCCCTGTACTTGTTATTATCTTTCTTAAGCCCCAAATCTTTAGTTCTTACTCTGGTTTAATTAATTAGGACCTTTCTCTTAAGTAGTTGGTATTTGCAAAGTAAATGGGAGCATCAATCTCAAGTATGAGAATTTGAGAATTCCAGGAACATTGCTTTGCATTGGGGTACTGCTCAACATTTCTGTAAACCATGGAATTCGGAAGGTTTCCTTGAACAAAAGTCCTTGGCCTTGCCACAAACAAAAGTACCCTGAACACAAAAATTGCAACTTACACAGAAGAAAAAAGAAATATTAGTTCTAATGCGTAGTTTTAAGTTGTTAGATATAGTGTTACTGTCACACACAATAATGATACGTACCGCTAAGACTAGTCCAATTTCAATGCTGCCAAAAACAACGTCGATATAGGCACTCATGCAGACAACAAAGTCAAATTTGTCAACCTTCCAGAGGTGAATTGCGGCTTCATAGTCTATGACAACAAGCAAAGCCCGACTATGTGTTTCTATGTCTGTATATTCCCCAAGTCTGATTCAGTCAGGATTTCCAACTACTCATCCAACTTAGGCCAAACCAGATTCCTAACAATTGCATACTACTTTTACAGGCTAAAATCTCTATTGCTCCCTCTAGCAATAACTTTTCGACCACACCCTTCTATTTTCAGGATGCAAAACACATAATCAAAAGAAAATTTTTGTATAGCGGCCATCAGAAATTGAAGCGAGTTCATAATTTAGCTAAAGTCAGGGAAAAAAACAAGGACCCACCTAGCGCCTAGGCCGATTTTTCCAACAGCCTAACTGAACAGAAGCACAGTTTATAGGTTTTGAGCACTAATTATGAACATCATTACCGAATTTAACATTACATAACAAAATCCACCACCTGTTCTAGATTTCTGTGCATCATAGATTTTCCAAAATGAGCAAAATATAAAGATAATTTAGTTAAAACTACAAGTAATCTGAATGCATTCCACTAAAAAATAGGAAGCAGAGTAATTGGAGACTGAGCTTAGTGAAAAGAAAAACCTTGGGTTGAAGAAACTATCCCACCAGTCAGAGTCTGCGGCTTTAGGCTCGACTGGAACCAAGCTTAAGTTTTTCTTCAATTTCCTATCTTCCTTGCTTTTCTTTGATTTCTTGGGAGGCGCCAAGAGAGCTCAAATAAGAAATTGACCACCTCTTTTTTGGCCTTGAACTTGAAGACTTTGATGGGAAGTGATTCAGTGAAGCGACCCAGGCAGGGAGGGAAATGTAAAGCTCGCCATTTTTGGCCTTTTAATGGTATTGCCGGACGGCTATACTATTTAAATATGATATTTAAAAGGTATCGCCGCACGGCTATTTTTTTTTTTTTTTTTTTTTCTTTTTTTTTCCTGATTTTCGTTTATCAGGGCTTATCAAGATCAGCTGGCTGCCTATATTCCATCTGTCATCTCTTTGAAGGAGTGTACAACATCACTTGAGAAGCATGTGCTTGCAAATGCCATATGGAAAGTAAGCTGGTTTCTATCTACATTGGGGATAAGCAGAAGAGACACCATAGAGGCTGATGGTCAGGTGCTTGAGTTGTGGGAAACCACTGATCAGGATGCCCGCATTGATTTGATGGTTGACAAGGGCTAGAAGGTGGACGCTGTAGCAACGGACCACAGTCAGACTGAAGCAGTACAGGAACACAAGATTAAATATTCCTCTTCAGAATCATTGGTTGGAAAGGAATTGGGCGTGGACAAATTAGGGATCTCTAAGAGATTTACAGAGCCCCGTCAAGAAGGCAACAAGAGAAGGATTCTAGAAAGACTTGATTCTGATGTACAAAAGTTGACAAACCTTCAAATAACCGTGGAAGACCTGAAGAGGAAGGTGGAGATTACTGAAAAGAGCAAAAAGGGCAAAGGTATTGAATTTGAAAACGTGAAGGGGCAGCTGGAAGAAGCTGAAGAGGCCATCACTAAGTTGTAATATATCTCCTGTCAATTCTTATATCGTGAAGTAAACAACATACCAAGATGATGCTCGGAAGTTTCCGCTTATCGGATCTCCACATGACCTTGTTACGGATTCTCCAAGTGCCCTTTAACTGCGAGAATGCCATTACCGCAACAGACCTTGCAGCCCCATGCACGGCATTGAAAGCGGAAATGGAAGCTGGGAGGCCATTGCTTTCATAAGGAGTTATGAGCCAGGGAGGCAGAGTATAGCCAACCCACCAACTAAGTATTCTCTAATCTCTGCTCCAGATAAAGTTCTAAAATTTTCATTCAAACGCTGTCGACCTTCACAGAGCTTGAAAAATCCTGAACACATTAAAAGTCTAGATACCGTCATTCCCCCAGGCCAACCAGCTGTTACAATGTCAAGAAACCTCATCTCATGGTCAACAATTCCCTGCAGAAAGAGCATGATGTGGTTGTCCTCTAGGTCACAACAATCGTCTGATGTTTGAACGGTAGGAAGCGTCATAATGATGTGTGTACCATCTATATGGCTCCACAACAATTGGGCAATCCAGAGGCTTCTTCAAGTTTGGACTTTATTTCTTCCATTCTGTTGGAATCATGTGTCAGCCATGTGTCAACTATCTTAGAAGTCTGTACCTGATACATTTTTGAAGCAGGAAAATTTTCAATCATGGTCTGCAAAGTTGCCTTGGGGAATAGTTGCTGTACGCTGAATATTCCTCTTTTGCTTAGCGAGTTAGCAAGTTCAACATTCATGCATGGCATCATCCATAAGGAAGAATCCCCATCAAACCATAAACCCTGAAAAGAACCCAAAAGATATGAGAAGAGGCTAGGAGGTGAAAACTCTTCTTTCTTAAGGAACAAATCATCCGAATGAAAGCGTAATTGTTAAAAATAATAATTAGATAAATCAAAGCTTCACCATTTTCAGAAACAATTAGTGTACCATTTAAGTGCAAGTGCTGCACATCGTCCTTACAGACAAAAATATATATGGCTAAATTCCAAAGTGGCCCTTCTAACAACACTTTAATGAGTAAGTCATAATTTCTCAAGGGGTCTCTGAAGGTCTGGTTAACTCACATCCAACCCTTCCTCAGGCCAGATAAATCTAGGTAAATAAGACAAAAGAAGAGCTTCTCTTGGAGGACAAAGGAAAAAAAAACAGAACAAGATAAACAACACAGGAAAGAAGCATGGACTAACAACATTCATGGGTGCTCAGCATCCCCGATTAACATCTCTAACTAATCAACTGATATGCTAGCTGTAGAATGTAATAATATAAACAAGGCATTGCACTAGCACTGGTCTTTTATTTCTGACATTCAAAACCCCAAACAACCTGAGTCCTAGTATTAATATTTGAGGTAAATATTCAGAAACTAATATGATTTGTGTTTATTGATTGTTAGACGGGCGGATTGTGATGGATATCTACTCCCATCTTTCTTGTAGAATCTGAGCAACTGTTGATTATAAAGGAAGAAAAGCATGTAATCTGATTCACGTATTTCTTTCTTTCCATTTTTTATTCTGTATAGTCATGTGTGACCAAAACCGTCATTTGCAATATATCTGTGATTGATATTGTAAAATCAACTTATCTCTTTGTTTTCCCATCATAATATTCTGTTCCCAGCAAGAGAATCAACACTTACCTAAATTTTTCCTGAAGAACAGCCGCTGCAATATACTCCTGCTAGAAACCTTTGTAAATATAAGAAAATTATCTTTTTATATTCTCTTTTCCTTGTGTGTTTTTCAGGAAAGACTCATGCTTACGGAGGTAAAACAGAAATGCCTGAATCTTGTTGTTTGCAAAAAGCTCCTCAACCATAGATCTATCTTTGTCATTCAGACCGACATGGTGTAATCCAATGCCAAACTGCAAGGTGTGCCTCAGGTTAAAGAACCATCTGCTGGGCTTCTTCTGGCATACTAAGAAACTGCCTTGGATGTTCATCTGACCAGCCCAGGCCGCCTAGATCCGCCCAGGCCGCCTAGATCAGCCCAGGCCGCCTAGGCGCCGCCTAGATCCGCCAGGCCCCTAGCGCCGCCTAGGCCCCCCCTAACTCCCTGGGGTCGGTTTCCTCCGGCCTAGCGTCTAGGCTGATATCTCAAACACAGCTCAAAACCTGGAACGGGCTTGCTCTGTGCCATAGACGTTCGTAGTGATGAGTTCGAGCCCGATTCGCCAGAATATTTTTAAAAACCGAGTATAGCCGAGCGGCTATACTATTTTAAAAAAAATTAAGAAAATACCGAGTAAAACCTAACGTTGTTCTCGCCATCATGCCAAGTAACAATGAAAAAGAAACCAGAAGTTTATATTTTGAAATGAGAAGAATGTTTGGGATAATAAGGAAGACTTGGGGTACATCAATATCAGGTATAGTTTTCTTTGACAATTGAGATTAGGAAGACTTGAGATCAGGTAAAGTCCTTTTCTATCTGTCTCTGGCAGCTGGTATAGTTTGGATAGAATTAATTTACACCAATATCAGGTGATTTTCTTGACAATAGTTTATTCATATCGAATATGTATGGTGCATTAGCAGGTGCTCATGTTTAAGAGTATTTTTTAGCAATATCCTGGAGGTGGGAGAACAGCTTTACGGTCTAGACAACAAACATGAACATGTGATCAGAACCATTTATCACTTTGACTTCATCTGGTGGATTTAACTATGCTACGAATTAGATTTCTTCGCCTATCCTTGTTGAGGAAAAAAATTGGAAATTCTATACATAGAATCTAAATTACCTTAACTACAAAGCTTGTTCTTCTATTCCTTCACTGCTCAATGTAACAACGTTCATCCACAGTGCATTCACTCCTTAAAAATCTCCATATATGGCCTCAAAGAGTCATGAGGATCTCAAAGAACTCTTTCCACCATTGTCTGACTGTGGCCCAGTTGCCTGACTCAAAGAAACTCAAAGAGTTTTCGTCGAGATTTGGCCTCATTGGTTGGCAAGATCTCATTTTATCACTTCAACTCAAAGGAATAAATGATGCTCTGCAAAAATCTGTGCTGATAAGTTCATTCTTTTAGAAGTTTATTTCTCTTCCTCAAAACAGAGTTCCTGAAATCTTGTTAAGCTGCAAGCAAAGAGCAACCAGTTTAGTTCGGATAAGTCGTGATCACGAGGAACGAATGAAACTAAAAGTGAAAGAAAGAAGTTGACTGTAGTAAATTCAAAATAAAATCAAACCCTATAGTAAGAGTAATCACTAGTTTACTGGGAAGCATAATGAAACTCATTTCAAAGAGACGTACCGGTTCAGAAGAACATTAGGATTGTAGGGAAACAGATTCTTTTGGTGTAGAACTTCAATAGAAATTTTAAGTGAAAGTAAGCACTCTTTGGCTTCTTTGAAATACTGTCCTCCATTTTGGGTGTGCTTGCAGCCATTTTCATTTTCTTCATCAGGTTCATCATCAAGAAATGTAAGATGATTTTTTGTTGGTGCAAGAGAATCCTCTCCCCAGGAACGAGACACCCAATGAAACTTTTCTTTTCTTGCAAAATGATTGATTTGTAGCTTGCCCACCCACTAGAAATTCCACAAATAAGCTCCATGAATCACACACTTTACGCAAGCACCTAAAAGAGAATGCATTAAGGACGGTAAGAAGCAAATGAAAGATACAAAGAGTTGCAATTAAAAACAACTGTCTGGGGTCAACCAAATTGAGTCTTGTTTTGCTAATTAGTTAAGAAGTCATGTAAAAGCAGAGGGTTAATGTTTTATAGTTTAGTCACCGAGGTCAACACCAGAAAAATGCAGCCCACCACGGTTTAGATTTCGTAAGTTAAGAGAAGGTGTAGAAAGAGAAAAGACCTTAAAAGATATTCTGCACAACTGATTCCGGTATCTTTTGAAATAAGGTAATCAAGAAGCACCTGATGGTCATAGCTCAACTGCAAAATAGGAAGAAAAAAGAAAATGCACAATGTCAGTGATACTTTTTTATTCTGCAACAGCATATACTTCAAATTAACAACTAGGAGGCATGCCGAAGTGGAAATGCAGATACGTAAATGTCCAAGAGTGAGCATCTTGCCTCTAATTGGAAAAGATGGAACAAGAGTACAGGATTGAAAAGATCTGAGACACGGAAAAGTAAATTGCCATTCGAATCCTACAATGCAACCTTTTCCTTTTCATCCCTATATAAACAAAAATCTTGTTAAAAGGAATCCATGACGATAACTTTTAAAACAATGGAAAACTAGGATATTAATTCCTTACTGTCTGCACAACAAGGTACACAAGGCAGATGCAAGAGCACTTTGAATAATTCATCATCCTACAGTTCAAAAACAAGCCAAGAAATGAGGACATGAGTCTAAAAAACTGCAAGAAAAATACGACAAATGAAGAATACAGAACTGCAATTTTAGTACGTGAAATTGTTGAATAAGATGATGCATTCAGATAGACAAAATAAAATATGAATACAGTTTTTCTTTTTTTGGGTCTGGGTGAATAGATTGCCTATTTTGCTTATATCACGTTGCATATAAACATAGACAAAAAAACTCCTAGTTTCAAAGATAAAGAAGACATACCTCTTTGATATACAGTTGGATGAAGGATTTGGCAAAGTCAACACATTCTACAAAATACATTTCATGGTCCACTGTCAAATTAGCTGGAAGATGGCCTTCAAGCTCCAAGAGACCTTTCTTTCTTAGACAGTAACATTAGGCTTCTAGTACTAGAAAGAAATCAATAAAGCAGAAAGGCATTGGTGAGCAATGCCAATGCGCCTCCCTCCACTAACCGACCTCTCCCTGCATGCCTGTTGACGACTAATAATTTATCCTTTCCTTTTCTTTACCCCAACCAAGACCACCAGGAATTATAAATCTCTCATCCCCTCTTCATTTGCCTCCCAATTCTCACTCTCTCAACAACAGAAACACAGTTTTCTATCTCTTCCTTTCACTCCACACGAAACAAACCCCTCATTTCTTATGCCTTTCCTTATTTTATGTCACCTTTCCACCTTCTCACACACTATATACATGTCACCTTTGCTCCTTCGCACCAGCAAGTTTCGTCTGTCTTCATTTGGAAAAAAAAAGGACACGACCCGCCCTGGTGCCCAGGCCGCCTAGGCACCGCCTAGATCCTCCCAGGCCGCCTAGGCGCCTCCCAGATCCTCCCAGGCCGCCTAGGCGCCGCCCAGATCCTCCCAGGCCGCCTAGGCCCCCCCTAACTCCCTGGTGTCGGTGTTCTCCCGCCTAGCGCCTAGGCCGATATCTCGAACACTGCTCAAAACCTGGAACGGGCTTGCTCTGTGCCCTAGACGTTCGTAGTGATGAGTTCGAGTCCGATTCGACAGAATTTTTTTTTAAGAAAAAAAAACCGAGTATAGCCGAACGGCTATACTATTTAAAAAAAATTAAAGCGGCCCGCAATACAGTTTTCACAGAATTAGGTGCACACGGGTATAGCCGTACGGCTGTACTATTTCCCAAAAAAAAATAAGGAAAAAACCTAGTATAGCCGCGTGGAAGTACTTTTTAAAAATAAATTTGGAAAAAAAACAGTACAGCCGATCGGCTATACTATTTTTCAAAAAATATGACCACCACTCTAACCTTTCTAAGAGAATGGATTCATCTTCATAGGAATCTTTGGATCTACCATATGAACCACCTTTGGCTACCATTTTTTGCTCTTATTGTTCCTTCTTTTTGTGTAAAATTTGAATTTTATAACTATTGTGCACGAATTATAATAATTTGAGAAAATTTTTATACATCACATCAACATGTCATGTGGATATGTACACAAGCAATAAAATAACTTCTCAAGTGAGTCAGCGAATTACTAAAGTATTTTCATGATCACCAATTTTTTTTTTTTTTTTTTTTTTTTTTTTTTTTTTTTTTTTTTTTTTTTTTTTTTTTTTTTTTTTTTTTTTTTTTTTTTTTTTTTTTTTTTTTTTTTTTTTTTTTTTTTTTTTTTTTTTTTTTTTTTTTTTTTTTTTTTTTTTTTTTTTTTTTTTTTTTTTTTTTTTTTTTTTTTTTTTTTTTTTTTTTTTTTTTTTTTTTTTTTTTTTTTTTTTTTTTTTTTTTTTTTTTTTTTTTTTTTTTTTTTTTTTTTTTTTTTTTTTTTTTTTTTTTTTTTTTTTTTTTTTTTTTTTTTTTTTTTTTTTTTTTTTTTTTTTTTTTTTTTTTTTTTTTTTTTTTTTTTTTTTTTTTTTTTTTTTTTTTTTTTTTTTTTTTTTTTTTTTTTTTTTTTTTAATATAAAAATGTGTACTGACCTAAAGATACTAAGTTTATACTTATTATTTAAAAAAACCTCTGCCGACGAACTTCCATTGGCATAGGTCTATCTCGGTGCAATTTTGCAGAATTAGCCCTCTTTCGACGACATTTCGTCGGCCTAGGAAGCTTTCCTCGGGTGAGGTCTAATCCAGCAAATAGTTGCTGGCTTAGACCTATGGTCTTCTTGCTATTTATTTATTTTTGTTAAATATAAAATTAGTTTCTTTACTTTTATTTTTTGCCCAACTTCTTTAATTTCACATATATGTCATTAAGTAATATCTTTGCCTTTTTTAATTACTTTAATTAGTAATTATATTATTATTCGAATATAAACACTTCGCTATACTGTTTAAATATTCGAATATATTTAGGGAATATGACAAAGGGCACCTAAAAAGATAAGCAACGTCATTATATCACTTCTCATACACATGCAACATGGTTTTTATGTTTCATCTTCTTAACACTCAACAACATAAATGTTCAATGTTTACCTTGTAAAAATTGTGCCGGGGGCGTGAAAGAACTGGTTTGTCATTATTTGCATGTACAAGCTTTTTCTCAGCAGAATTCCGACTGAGATCTTTAGGATTTACCACCCCAGCCAAGATCTTTAGTCTTTTTCTGAAAGGTACAGTGGAGTCCTTCGCAAATCCTTTAACTTTTTCCATCACATCGTCAACCATTTTCTAAAAGCATCATTCAAATATACCAATAGACTAAGTGTTCCAACAGAACATAAGATCATTTCCATCAGGGAGAGTACATCAGAATAAAGTACATGCCTATCCAAATGGATGAAGTTGCATACAAAGTGAAGTTACCTTGATGCTGTCCTGGAATTGAGTTGATATGTCTGTATCAAAATTCTCAGAAACTTTGAAATACATTACAAGACTCATCCCCTCTCCATCACTATCACCAAGAAACATTGTAGCAGGATAAGTAGCCAACTGCAACAAGGCGCAGAGCAATATCATTAAATATTGCCAAATATAACAAACTAAACATAACAAGATAAATCAATTCTGAAAAAATACCAATTGAGATAAGCCGGATTTCAGGGCATTGTCTTGAATTTTTTCATTACAATCGCGTCCATCCTCTGTAAGTCCTTTAAAGCTTCCATAAGAGTGATCTAATATATTCTTCCTCTTACTGCAAACTTCATCAGCCTTCCCTAAGTGAGAAAGCTCATAGCCCTGTGTATCAATAAGCGAAAACCTATTTGATTCCCTGAGCTCATCTTTGCCTCTGATTTTATCTGATTTACCTCCATCAATTATCATATAGCTTTGGTATTCTTCATACTTACACTCATTATCAACAAAGCGAGCAGATCTTTCATGCTGAAGTACTTGGCCACTTGAGATATTCCCAACTGGATTGCTTGCCAATGGAAAACCATCTGTAGAATAAGTGAAGAAAATTAAGAAAACAAAACAAAATCCTTTTCCAATAAGTAGCTCAAGAAAAATTACTTCAGTAGTAATGACGTTTTGCAATCAAACAAGACCACAAGGCTTTCATTCTGTAATATGTAGTTACAGGCTGATGGCCAATACCTCCATGTATACTGATAAAGTCATCATCCGAGTCAGACTCCAGAATACTCACCGAGTCAAACCAAGCTTCCTCTTGGAAAATTACTGCAAATTAATAACTTTCAAAATATGAGATTCAAGAGCTATGAATTTTCTTGTCAGCACTATTGGTTGATATTGAAAGATAGCTGAAATCTGATGAAAGAAAGCACACACCATTCGAATCATATTGACTATGGTGCCATTGCAGCTGGGTGAGATGGAATGTTGAATTAGAAACCTTAGATCTTCTGTGAGTAGTTGTTGCACCATTCTTAAAGTCCACATGAACAAACTCATTGACAACAAAGTCACTTAAGCGAGCTCATGCATCACTATCTATTTTCTTGAAACTGGTATTTCTTTTCTTGGTACCATCTGAAGCGGAATTGTTTTGGATGGGGTTGACATGCAACCAGCCATTGTGGCCTTTAAATCATGCAAGTGCCAACTACAATGATGCCTTCATCAAGTCCTCTCCAACCTGTGTGCCTACAAATGAAACAAAATACATCAGAGAAGATTAAAGGATTTCTAGAAAGCAGTTTCTATGATCACAAATAATCATGAGAACACAATCATTTCTATCATCATGAGACTGTTTCAGTAATTTATGGCTCAAACGCTAGAATAGTTAACCACCTTAACACTGGGAAATTATTAGAATCAAACAGATGACACACAGAGGTTTCTATGTTTAATGAGTATGGTGGCACTATCAGAAAACACCTTGGTTAGAAGCGACTGGTAAATTGAAGCACTGCACTACTTATTCAATCAATTTGTAGATGAAAATTTGTGCAATCATCACAAAAATCAAATGTCTGATTCAAACCTTCTCAAACAAAGTGGGATGTCTCTATCCCAGTCCCATAGATAAGCAACTCATCTATCTTCAGCCCCAAATCTTTAGTTCTGGCTCACTAGAAACACAAACATGACCAAAAAACAAAAAGATAGTACAACCACCTCGAGAACAACTCAACAAAACCTTAGTCCCTGTACTTGCTATTATCTTTCTTAAGCCCCAAATCTTTAGTTCTTACTCTGGTTTAATTAATTAGGACCTTTCTCTTAAGTAGTTGGTATTTGCAAAGTAAATGGGAGCATCAATCTCAAGTATGAGAATTTGAGAATTCCAGGAACATTGCTTTGCATTGGGGTACTGCTCAACATTTCTGTAAACCATGGAATTCGGAAGGTTTCCTTGAACAAAAGTCCTTGGCCTTGCCACAAACAAAAGTACCCTGAACACAAAAATTGCAACTTACACAGAAGAAAAAAGAAATATTAGTTCTAATGCGTAGTTTTAAGTTGTTAGATATAGTGTTACTGTCACACACAATAATGATACGTACCGCTAAGACTAGTCCAATTTCAATGCTGCCAAAAACAACGTCGATATAGGCACTCATGCAGACAACAAAGTCAATTTGTCAACCTTCCAGAGGTGAATTGCGGCTTCATAGTCTATGACAACAAGCAAAGCCCGACTATGTGTTTCTATGTCTGTATATTCCCCAAGTCTGATTCAGTCAGGATTTCCAACTACTCATCCAACTTAGGCCAAACCAGATTCCTAACAATTGCATACTACTTTTACAGGCTAAAATCTCTATTGCTCCCTCTAGCAATAACTTTTCGACCACACCCTTCTATTTTCAGGATGCAAAACACATAATCAAAAGAAAATTTTTGTATAGCGGCCATCAGAAATTGAAGCGAGTTCATAATTTAGCTAAAGTCAGGGAAAAAAACAAGGACCCACCTAGCGCCTAGGCCGATTTTTCCAACAGCCTAACTGAACAGAAGCACAGTTTATAGGTTTTGAGCACTAATTATGAACATCATTACCGAATTTAACATTACATAACAAAATCCACCACCTGTTCTAGATTTCTGTGCATCATAGATTTTCCAAAATGAGCAAAATATAAAGATAATTTAGTTAAAACTACAAGTAATCTGAATGCATTCCACTAAAAAATAGGAAGCAGAGTAATTGGAGACTGAGCTTAGTGAAAAGAAAAACCTTGGGTTGAAGAAACTATCCCACCAGTCAGAGTCTGCGGCTTTAGGCTCGACTGGAACCAAGCTTAAGTTTTTCTTCAATTTCCTATCTTTCTTGCTTTTCTTTGATTTCTTGGGAGGCGCCATGAGAGCTTAAAGGAGAAATTGACCACCACTTTTTTGGCTTTGAACTTGAAGACTTTGATGGGAAGTGATTCAGTGAAGCGACCCAGGCAGGGAGGGAAATGTAAAGCTCGCCATTTTTGGCCTTTTAATGGTATAGCCGCACGGCTATACTATTTAAATATGATATTTAAATGGTGTAGCCGGATGGCGGTACTCTTTAAATATAATATCTTTAAAAGGTATCGCCGGACGGCTTTTTTTTCTCCCCCTGATTTTCGTTTATCAGGGCTACAAGATCATCTGGCTGCCTATATTACATCTGTCATCTCTTTGAAGGAGTGTACAACAGCACTTGAGAAGCATGTGCTTGCAAATGCCATATGGAAAGTAAGCTGGTTTCTATCTACATTGGGGATAAGCAGAAGAGACACCATAGTGGCTGATGGTCAGGTGCTTGAGTTGTGGGAAACCACTGATCAGGATGCCGGCATTGATTTGATGGTTGGCAAGGGCTAGAAGGTGGACGCTGTAGCAACTGACCACAGTCAGACTGAAGCAGTACAGGAACACAAGAATAAATATTCCTCTTCAGAATCATTGGTTGAGAAGGAATTGGGCGTGGACAAATTAGGGATCTCTAAGAGATTTACAGAGCCCCATCAAGAAGGCAACAAGAGAAGGATTCTAGAAAGACTTGATTCTGATGTACAAAAGTTGACAAACCTTCAAATAACCGTGGAAGACCTGAAGGGGAAGGTGGAGATTACTGAAAAGAGCAAAAAGGGCAAAGGTATTGAATTTGAAAACGTGAAGGGGCAGCTGGAAGAAGCTGAAGAGGCCTTCACTAAGTTGTAATATATCTCCTGTCAATTCTTATATCGTGAAGTAAACAACATACCAAGATGATGCTCGGAAGTTTCCGCTTATCGGATCTCCACATGACCTTGTTACGGATTCTCCAAGTGCCCTTTAACTGCGAGAATGCCATTACCGCAACAGACCTTGCAGCCCCATGCACAGCATTGAAAGCGGAAATGGAAGCTGGGAGGCCATTGCTTTCATAAGGAGTTATGAGCCACGGAGGCAGAGGATAGCCAACCCACCAACTAAGTATTCTCTAATCTCTACTCCAGATAAAGTTCTAAAATTTTCATTCAAACGCTGTCCACCTTCACAGAGCTTGAAAAATCCTGAACGCATTAAAAGTCTAGACACCGTCATTCCCCCAGGCCAACCAGTTACAATGTCAAGAAACCTCATCTCATGGTCAACAATTCCCTGCAGAAAGAGCATGATGTGGTTGTCCTCCAGGTCACAACAATCGTCTGATGTTTGAACAGTAGGAAGGGTCATCCATAAGAAAGAATCCCCATCAAACCATAAACCCTGAAAAGAACCCAAAGGATATGAGAAGAGGCTAGCAGGTGAAAACTCTACTTTCTTAAGGAACAAATCATAAGAATGAAAGCGTAATTGTTAAAAATAAATAATTAGATAAATCAAAGCTTCACCATTTTCAGAAACAATTAGTGTACCTTTTAAGTGCGAGTGCTGCACATTGTCCTTACAGACAAAAATATATATGGCTAAATTCAAAGTGGCCCTTCTAACAACACTTCAATGAGTAAGTCATAATTTCTCATGCTTTAGGGGTCTCTGAAGGTCTGGTTAACTCACATCCAACCCTTCCTCAGGCCAGATAAATCTTTGTAAATAAGACAAAAGAAGAGCTTCTCTTGGAGGACAAAGGAAAAAATACAAAACAAGATAAACAATACAGGAAAGAAGCATGGACTAACAACATTCAAGGGTGCTCAGCATCCCCGATTAACATCTCTAACTAATGAACTGATATGTTAGCTGTAGAATGTAATAATATAAACAAGGCATTGCACTAGCACTGGTCTTTTATTTCTGATATTCAAAACCCCGAACAACCTGATTCCTAGTATTAATATTTGATGTAAATATTCAGAAACTAACATGATTTGTGTTTATTGATTGTTAGACGGGCGGATTGTGATGGACATCTACTCCCATCTTTCTTGTAGAATCTGAGCAACTGTTGATTATAAAGGAAGAAAAGCATGCAATCTGATTCACATATTTCTTTCTTTCCATTTTTTATTCTATATAGTCATGTGTGACCAAAACCATCATTTGCAATATATCTGTGATTGATATTGTAAAATCAACATATCTCTTTGTCTTCCCATCATAATATTCTGTTCCCTGCAAGAGAATCAACACTTACATAAATTTGTCCTGAAGAACAGCCGCTGCAATATACTCCTGCTAGAAACCTTTGTAAATATAAGAAAATTATCTTTTTATATTCTCTTTTCCTTATGTGTTTTTCAGGAAAGACTCATGCTTACTGAGGTAAAACAGAAATGCCTGAATCTTGTTGTTTGCAAAAAGCTCCTCAACCATAGATCTATCTTTGTCATTCAGACCGACATGGTGTAATCCAATGCCAAACTGCAAGGTGTGCCTCAGGTTAAAGAACCATCTGCTGGGCTTCTTCTAGCATACCAAGAAACTGCCTTGGATGTTCATCTGACCAACCCAGGCCGCCTAGATCCGCCCAGGCCGCCTAGGCGCCGCCTAGATCCGCCCAGGCCTCCTAGGCCCCCCCTAACTCCCTGGGGTCGGTGTCCTCCGGCCTAGCGCCTAGGCTGATATCTCGAACACAGCTCAAAACCTGGAACGGGCTTGCTCTGTGCCATAGACGTTCGAAGTGATGAGTTCGAGCCCGATTCGCCAGAATATTTTAAAAACAGAGTATAGCCCAGCGGCTATACTATTTTTATAAAAAATAAGAAAATACCGAGTAAAACCGCCCAGTAACGTTGTTCTCGCCATCATGCCAAGTAACAAGGAAAAAGAAACCAGAAGTTTATATTTTGAAATGAGAAGAATGTTTGGGATAATAAGGAAGACTTGGGATCAGGTAAAGTCCTTTTCTATCTGTCTCTGGCAGCTGGTATAGTTTGGATAGAATTAATTTACACCAATATCAGGTGATTTTCTTGACAATAGTTATTCATATCGAATATGTATAGTGCATTAGCAGGTGCTCATGTTTAAGAGTATTTTTTAGCAATATCCTGGAGGTGGGAGAACAGCTTTACTGGTCTAGACAACAAACATGAACATGTGATCAGAACCATTTATCACTTTGACTTCATCTGGTGGATTTAACTATGCTACGAATTAGATTTCTTCGCCTATCCTTGTTGAGGAAAAAAATTGGAAATTCTATACATAGAATCTAAATTACCTTAACTACAAAGCTTGTTCTTCTATTCCTTCACTGCTCAATGTAACAACGTTCATCCACAGTGCATTCACTCCTTAAAAATCTCCATATATGGCCTCAAAGAGTCATGAGGATCTCAAAGAACTCTTTCCACCATTGTCTGACTGTGGCCCAGTTGCCTGACTCAAAGAAACTCAAAGAGTTTTCGTCGAGATTTGGCCTCATTGGTTGGCAAGATCTCATTTTATCACTTCAACTCAAAGGAATAAATGATGCTCTGCAAAAATCTGTGCTGATAAGTTCATTCTTTTAGAAGTTTATTTCTCTTCCTCAAAACAGAGTTCCTGAAATCTTGTTAAGCTGCAAGCAAAGAGCAACCAGTTTAGTTCGGATAAGTCGTGATCACGAGGAACGAATGAAACTAAAAGTGAAAGAAAGAAGTTGACTGTAGTAAATTCAAAATAAAATCAAACCCTATAGTAAGAGTAATCACTAGTTTACTGGGAAGCATAATGAAACTCATTTCAAAGAGACGTACCAGTTCAGAAGAACATTAGGATTGTAGGGAAACAGATTCTTTTGGTGTAGAACTTCAATAGAAATTTTAAGTGAAAGTAAGCACTCTTTGGCTTCTTTGAAATACGGTCCTCCATTTTGGGTGTGCTTGCAGCCATTTTCATTTTCTTCATCAGGTTCATCATCAAGAAATGTAAGATGATTTTTTGTTGGTGCAAGAGAATCCTCTCCCCAGGAACGAGACACCCAATGAAACTTTTCTTTTCTTGCAAAATGATTGATTTGTAGCTTGCCCACCCACTAGAAATTCCACAAATAAGCTCCATGAATCACACACTTTACGCAAGCACCTAAAAGAGAATGCATTAAGGACGGTAAGAAGCAAATGAAAGATACAAAGAGTTGCAATTAAAAACAACTGTCTGGGGTCAACCAAATTGAGTCTTGTTTTGCTAATTAGTTAAGAAGTCATGTAAAAGCAGAGGGTTAATGTTTTATAGTTTAGTCACCGAGGTCAACACCAGAAAAATGCAGCCCACCACGGTTTAGATTTCGTAAGTTAAGAGAAGGTGTAGAAAGAGAAAAGACCTTAAAAGATATTCTGCACAACTGATTCCGGTATCTTTTGAAATAAGGTAATCAAGAAGCACCTGATGGTCATAGCTCAACTGCAAAATAGGAAGAAAAAAGAAAAATGCACAATGTCAGTGATACTTTTTTATTCTGCAACAGCATATACTTCAAATTAACAACTAGGAGGCATGCCGAAGTGGAAATGCAGATACGTAAATGTCCAAGAGTGAGCATCTTGCCTCTAATTGGAAAAGATGGAACAAGAGTATAGGATTGAAAAGATCTGAGACACGGAAAAGTAAATTGCCATTCGAATCCTACAATGCAACCTTTTCCTTTTCATCCCTATATAAACAAAAAATCTTGTTAAAAGGAATCCATGACGATAACTTTTAAAACAATGGAAAACTAGGATATTAATTCCTTACTGTCTGCACAACAAGGTACACAAGGCAGATGCAAGAGCACTTTGAATAATTCATCATCCTACAGTTCAAAAACAAGCCAAGAAATGAGGACATGAGTCTAAAAAACTGCAAGAAAAATACGACAAATGAAGAATACAGAACTGCAATTTTAGTACGTGAAATTGTTGAATAAGATGATGCATTCAGATAGACAAAATAAAATATGAATACAGTTTTTCTTTTTTGGGTCTGGGTGAATAGATTGCCTATTTTGCTTATATCACGTTGCATATAAACATGGACAAAAAAACTCCTAGTTTCAAAGATAAAGAAGACATACCTCTTTGATATACAGTTGGATGAAGGATTTGGCAAAGTCAACACATTCTACAAAATACATTTCATGGTCCACTGTCAAATTAGCTGGAAGATGGCCTTCAAGCTCCAAGAGACCTTTCTTTCTTAGACAGTAACATTAGGCTTCTAGTACTAGAAAGAAATCAATAAAGCAGAAAGGCATTGGTGATCAATGCCAATGCGCCTCCCTCCACTAACCGACCTCTCCCTGCATGCGTGTTGACGACTAATAATTTATCCTTTCCTTTTCTTTACCCCAACCAAGACCACCAGGAATTATAAATCTCTCATCCCCTCTTCATTTGCCTCCCAATTCTCACTCTCTCAACAACAGAAACACAGTTTTCTATCAATTCCTTTCACTCCACACCAAACAAACCCCTAATTTCTTATGCCTTTCCTTATTTTATGTCACCTTTCCACCTTCTCACACACTATATACATGTCACCTTTGCTCCTTCGCACCAGCAAGTTTCGTCTGTCTTCATTTGGAAAAAAAAAGGACACGACCCGCCCTGGTGCCCAGGCCGCCTAGGCACCGCCTAGATCTTTCCAGGCCGCCTAGGCGCCTCCCAGATCCTCCCAGGCCGCCTAGGCACCGCCCAGATCCTCCCAGGCCCGCCCTAGGCCCCCCTTAACTCCCTGGTGTCGGTGTTCTCCCGCCTAGCGCCTAGGCCGATATCTGGAACACTGCTCAAAACCTGGAACGGGCTTGCTCTGTGCCCTAGACGTCGTAGTGATGAGTTAGAGTCCGATTTTAAAAAAAACCGAGTATAGCCGACCGGCTATACTATTTTTAAAAACTTAAAGCAGCCAGGCAATACCGTTGTCATAAAATTAGTACAAGCGGGTATAGCCGCGCGGCCGTACTATTTTAAAAAAACATACCAAAAAACCTAGTATAGCCGCGTGGAAGTACTTTTTTAAAATAAATTTGGAACCCAAATAAAGTATAGCCGATCGGCTGTACTATTTTCAAAAAAAAAATTGGAAAAAACCTAGTATATTCGCGTGGAAGTACTTTTTAAAAATAAATTTGGAACCAAAAAAAGTATATTTTCAACAAATATGAACCACCATTCTAACCTTTCTAAGAGAATGGATTCATCTTCATAGGAATCTTTGGATCTACCATATGAACCACCTTTGGCTACCATTTTTCTGTTATTGTTCCTTCTTTTTGTGTAAAATAACGAATTTTATAACTATTGTGCACGAATTATAATAATTTGAGAAAATTTTGATAAATCACATCAGTATGTCATGTGGATAGATACACAAGCAATAAAATAACTTCTCAAGTGAGTCAGCGAATTACTAAAGTATTTTCATGATCACCATTTATTGATTCGATTTAGCACTCCGGACATAAATTTGTTTTGGTAAGGCTCCACTAAAATAATATTTAAACGTATAGCCGCACGGCTATACCCTTGAAATATCATAATATGAATTTCTCCTTTTTAATTACTTTATTTAGTAGTTATGTTTTAATTATTATTTACTTAGTGAATAATTAGTATTTAAGTATTTTATTAAATTAAAAGACAAAAAAAAACCAATTACTATTTATTAAGTTAATTAAAATATTTAATACTAATTATTCACAAAAAAAATAATGATTAAAACATAATTACTAATGAAAGTAATTAAATAAGGCTAAGATTTTATTGAATTACTGAAAAGAAAATTTAAAATAAAAATGTACCGACCTAAAGATACTAAGTTTATACTTATTATTTAAAAAAAACCTATGCCGACGAACTTCCGTTGGCACAGGTCTATCTTGGTGCAATTTTGCCGGATTAGGAAACTTTCCTTGGGAGAGGTCTAATCCGGCAAATAGTTGCCGGCATAGACCTGTGGGTCTTCTTGCCTTTTATAATTACTTTAATTAGTAATTATATTATTATTCGATTATAGACACTTCGCTGTACTGTTTAAATATTCGAATATATTTAGGAAATATGACAAAGAGCACCTAAAAAGATAAGCAACGTCATTATATCACTTCTCATACACATGCAACACACAAACAAGGCATAAATTTTCTCTCAACCCTAAGCACACACAAAAGAACAAAGCCATAACGTAAATACATACCATGTCCAATTGATTCATTATCTCAAGGCTTAGCTTTGCTACAGAGAAATCCATATTTTTATTGTTATATTTAAAGCGCATGGCCGCGAGGCTATATTGGTAAAATAGAATATTTAAAAACGTATAGCCGCGTGGCTATACTCTATAAACGGAATATTTAAACGTATAGCCGCTTGGCTATACTCTATATGCCATTAATAGAACCGTGCGGCTATACTCCCTTTTTAAAAGAGAGTATGGCCGCGCGGCTATACTCCGTAAAAAGAATATTTAAAAAGTATGGCCGCGCGATACTCCATAAAAAGAATATTTTAGAGTGACTACACGCCATAAATAGAATATTTTACGAGCATAGCCGCTAGGCTATTCCGTTTTTAAAGACGTTCTCATAACAATTTGAGACCCTTCCTTGATATGTAGCTGAAGAGATGAATGTCCATATCAATCTCAAAGTAGTTAGGACCCCTGCATGTGAGAGAGCTTGATAAAGTCAAACAACATGGTTTTTATGTTTCATCTTCTTAACACTCAGCAACATAAATGTTCAATGTTTACCTTGTAAAAATTGTGCCGGGGGCGTGAAAGAACTGATTTGTCGTTATATGCATGTACAAGCTTCTTCTCAGCAGAACTCCGACTGAGATCTTCAGGATTTACCACCCCAGCCAAGATCTTTAGTCTTTCTCTGAAAGGTACAATGGAGTCCTTTGCGAATCCTTTAACTTTTCTGTCACATCGTCAACCATTTTCTAAAAGCATCATTCAAATATACCAACAGACTGAATGTTCCAATAGAACATAAGATCATTTCCATCAGGGAGAGTACATCATAATAAAGTACATGCCTATCCAAATGGATGAAGTTGCATACAAAACGAAGTTACCTTAATGCTGTCCTGGAATTTAGGAGAGATGTCTTTTTCAAAATTCTCAGAAACTTTGAAATACATTACAAGACTCATCCCTTCTCCATCACTATCACTAAGAAACATTGCAGCAGGATAAGCAGGCAACTGCAACAAGGCGCAGAGCAATATCATTAGATATTGCCAAAATATAACAAACTAAACATAACAAGATAAACCAATTCTGAAAAAAAATACCTGTATGTTTACAATGACCACTTTCCCATTTGCTTTCACTTTGGGAAGCTCAGGATGCTGGGCAATGTGATGTATCTTTTTGGGGCATACAGACACATCAACACCTATTGGAGTACATGGACTGTAGTTCGGAGCAGTTGAGTTTCGTTATCTTTGGATGGTAGACCAACACAAAATAATATTATCATTAGCAAGGCAGAACAGAGTAATTAGTTGCAAATGTCTAAATTCAGTTCAGGTTGGTTTTGACAAAAGAAAAAACCAAAGTCATACTTGAAATAGTTCTCGCCACAAAATTTAAAAGTTGAGGGTGGAATCTCATACCAAGATCCTGAAGTCGGCTTCTCTACTCTACAACATGGAATGATATATCCTGGTCTAGGCCGAAACAGAAACCTTTTTGATTGACCTGTGGATATATCATTGAAATGTTCGGTAATCTACATGTACATCAATCCCAATATTCTAAGTTTTCTTTCTATTCAAAGAAAATTGAATTATTTGAATGCTTACATTGTTCAATGGTTTCTTCTGCATCACAGGATCTCCTTTTAAAAGAAAGTCTGGAAACGACTGATGGCTTTCTCTGGGATTGCGGAACCAAACTCTGTGTGCACTTAGAAATTAGAATCTTATCGTTGAAACTTACAGAAGGTACCAATTGAGATAAGCCGGATTTCAGGGCATTGTCTTGAATTTTTTCATTAGAATCACGTCCATCCTCTGTAAGTCCTTTAAAGCTTCCATAAGAGTGATCTAATATATTCTTCCTCTTACTGCAAACTTCATCAGCCTTCCCTAAGTGAGAAAGCTCATAGCCTTGTGTATCAATAAGCGAAAACCGATTTGATTCCCTGAGCTCATCTTTGCCTCTGATTTTATCTGATTTACCTCCATCAATTATCATATAGCTTTGGTATTCTTCATACTTACACTCATTATCAACAAAGCGAGCAGATCTTTCATGCTGAAGTACTTGGCCACTTGAGATATTCCCAACTGGATTGCTTGCTAATGGAAAACCATCTGTAGAATAAGTGAAGAAAATTAAGAAAACAAAACAAAATCCTATTCCAATAAGTACCTCAAGAAAAATTACTTTAGTAGTAATGACGTTTTGCAATCAAACAAGACCACAAGGCTTTCATTCTGTAATATGTAGTTACAGGCTGATGGCCAATACCTCCATGTATACTGATAAAGTCATCATCCGAGTCAGACTCCAGAATACTCACCGAGTCAAACCAAGCTTCCTCTTGGAAAATTACTGCAAATTAATAACTTTCAAAATATGAGATTCAAGAGCTATGAATTTTCTTGTCAGCACTATTGGTTGAAATTGAAAGATAGTTGAAATCTGATGAAAGAAAGCACACACCATTCGAATCATATTGACTATGGTGCCATTGCAGCTGGGTGAGATGGAATGTTGAATTAGAAACCTTAGATCTTTTGTGAGTAGTTGTTGCACCATTCTTAAAGTCCACATGAACAAACTCATTGACAGCAAAGTCACTCAAGCGAGCTCCTGCATTACTATCTATTTTCTTGAAACTGGTATTTCTTTTCTTGGTACCATCTGAAGCGGAGCAGGTTGCCTATCTATGGCGTTTGATGACCCGCTGACAGTGTTTTTTCCATGGTTTAATATTTTGGATTGGGTTGACATGCAACCAGCCATTGTGGCTTTTAAATCATGCAAGTCCCAACTACAATGATGCCTTCATCAAGTCCTCTCCAACCTGTGTGCCTACAAATGAAACAAAATACATCAGAGAAGACTAAAGGATTTCTAGAAAGCAGTTTCTATGATCACAAATAATCATGAGAACACAATCAATTCTATCATCATGAGACTGTTTCAGTAATTTATGGCTCAAACGCTAGAATAGTTAACCACCTTAACACTTGGAAATTATTAGAATCAAACAGATGACACACAGAGGTCTCTATGTTTAATGAGTATGGTGGCACTATCAGAAAGCACCTTGGTTAGAAGCGACTGGTAAATTGAAGAACTACACTACTTATTCAATCAATTTGTAGATGAAAATTTGTGCAATCATCATAAAAATCAAATGTCTGATTCAAACCTTCTAAAACAAAGTGGGATGTCTCTATCCCAGTCCCATAGATAAGCAACTTATCTATCTTAAGCCCCAAATCTTTAGTTCTGGCTCACTAGAACACAAACATGACCAGAAAACAAAAAGATAGTACAACCACCTCAATAAAAACTCAACAAAACCTTAGTCCCTGTACTTGTTATTATCTTTCTTAAGCCCCAAATCTTTAGTTCTTACTCTGGTTTAATTAATTAGGACCTTTCTCTTAAGTAGTTGGTATTTGCAAAGTAAAGGGAGCATCAATCTCAAGTATGAGAATTTGAGAATTCCAGGAACATTGCTTTGCATTGGGGTACTGCTCAACATTTCTGTAAACCATGGAATTCGGAAGGTTTCCTTGAACAAAAGTCCTTGGCCTTGCCACAAACAAAAGTACCCTGAACACAAAAATTGCAACTTACACAGAAGAAAAAAGAAATATTAGTTCTAATGCGTAGTTTTAAGTTGTTAGATATAGTGTTACTGTCACACACAATAATGATACGTACCGCTAAGACTAGTCCAATTTCAATGCTGCCAAAAACAACGTCGATATAGGCACTCATGCAGACAACAAAGTCAAATTTGTCAACCTTCCAGAGGTGAATTGCGGCTTCATAGTCTATGACAACAAGCAAAGCCCGACTATGTGTTTCTATGTCTGTATATTCCCCAAGTCTGATTCAGTCAGGATTTCCAACTACTCATCCAACTTAGGCCAAACCAGATTCCTAACAATTGCATACTACTTTTACAGGCTAAAATCTCTATTGCTCCCTCTAGCAATAACTTTTCGACCACACCCTTCTATTTTCAGGATGCAAAACACATAATCAAAAGAAAATTTTTGTATAGCGGCCATCAGAAATTGAAGCGAGTTCATAATTTAGCTAAAGTCAGGGAAAAAAACAAGGACCCACCTAGCGCCTAGGCCGATTTTTCCAACAGCCTAACTGAACAGAAGCACAGTTTATAGGTTTTGAGCACTAATTATGAACATCATTACCGAATTTAACATTACATAACAAAATCCACCACCTGTTCTAGATTTCTGTGCATCATAGATTTTCCAAAATGAGCAAAATATAAAGATAATTTAGTTAAAACTACAAGTAATCTGAATGCATTCCACTAAAAAATAGGAAGCAGAGTAATTGGAGACTGAGCTTAGTGAAAAGAAAAACCTTGGGTTGAAGAAACTATCCCACCAGTCAGAGTCTGCGGCTTTAGGCTCGACTGGAACCAAGCTTAAGTTTTTCTTCAATTTCCTATCTTCCTTGCTTTTCTTTGATTTCTTGGGAGGCGCCAAGAGAGCTCAAATAAGAAATTGACCACCTCTTTTTTGGCCTTGAACTTGAAGACTTTGATGGGAAGTGATTCAGTGAAGCGACCCAGGCAGGGAGGGAAATGTAAAGCTCGCCATTTTTGGCCTTTTAATGGTATAGCCGGACGGCTATACTATTTAAATATGATATTTAAAAGGTATCGCCGCACGGCTATTTTTTTTTTTTTTTTTTCGTTTATCAGGTCGCTTTACAAGATACAGCTGGCTGCCTATATTCCACCTGTCATCTCTTTGAAGGAGTGTACAACATCACTTGAGAAGCATGTGCTTGCAAATGCCATATGGAAAGTAAGCTGGTTTCTATCTACATTGGGGATAAGCAGAAGAGACACCATAGAGGCTGATGGTCAGGTGCTTGAGTTGTGGGAAACCACTGATCAGGATGCCCGCATTGATTTGATGGTTGACAAGGGCTAGAAGGTGGACGCTGTAGCAACGGACCACAGTCAGACTGAAGCAGTACAGGAACACAAGATTAAATATTCCTCTTCAGAATCATTGTTTGGAAAGGAATTGGGCGTGGACAAATTAGGGATCTCTAAGAGATTTACAGAGCCCCGTCAAGAAGGCAACAAGAGAAGGATTCTAGAAAGACTTGATTCTGATGTACAAAAGTTGACAAACCTTCAAATAACCGTGGAAGACCTGAAGAGGAAGGTGGAGATTACTGAAAAGAGCAAAAAGGGCAAAGGTATTGAATTTGAAAACGTGAAGGGGCAGCTGGAAGAAGCTGAAGAGGCCATCACTAAGTTGTAATATATCTCCTGTCAATTCTTATATCGTGAAGTAAACAACATACCAAGATGATGCTCGGAAGTTTCCGCTTATCGGATCTCCACATGACCTTGTTACGGATTCTCCAAGTGCCCTTTAACTGCGAGAATGCCATTACCGCAACAGACCTTGCAGCCCCATGCACGGCATTGAAAGCGGAAATGGAAGCTGGGAGGCCATTGCTTTCATAAGGAGTTATGAGCCAGGGAGGCAGAGTATAGCCAACCCACCAACTAAGTATTCTCTAATCTCTGCTCCAGATAAAGTTCTAAAATTTTCATTCAAACGCTGTCGACCTTCACAGAGCTTGAAAAATCCTGAACACATTAAAAGTCTAGATACCGTCATTCCCCCAGGCCAACCAGCTGTTACAATGTCAAGAAACCTCATCTCATGGTCAACAATTCCCTGCAGAAAGAGCATGATGTGGTTGTCCTCTAGGTCACAACAATCGTCTGATGTTTGAACGGTAGGAAGCGTCATAATGATGTGTGTACCATCTATATGGCTCCACAACAATTGGGCAATCCAGAGGCTTCTTCAAGTTTGGACTTTATTTCTTCCATTCTGTTGGAATCATGTGTCAGCCATGTGTCAACTATCTTAGAAGTCTGTACCTGATACATTTTTGAAGCAGGAAAATTTTCAATCATGGTCTGCAAAGTTGCCTTGGGGAATAGTTGCTGTACGCTGAATATTCCTCTTTTGCTTAGCGAGTTAGCAAGTTCAACATTCATGCATGGCATCATCCATAAGGAAGAATCCCCATCAAACCATAAACCCTGAAAAGAACCCAAAAGATATGAGAAGAGGCTAGGAGGTGAAAACTCTTCTTTCTTAAGGAACAAATCATCCGAATGAAAGCGTAATTGTTAAAAATAATAATTAGATAAATCAAAGCTTCACCATTTTCAGAAACAATTAGTGTACCATTTAAGTGCAAGTGCTGCACATCGTCCTTACAGACAAAAATATATATGCCTAAATTCCAAAGTGGCCCTTCTAACAACACTTTAATGAGTAAGTCATAATTTCTCATGCTTTAGGGGTCTCTGAAGGTCTGGTTAACTCACATCCAACCCTTCCTCAGGCCAGATAAATCTAGGTAAATAAGACAAAAGAAGAGCTTCTCTTGGAGGACAAAGGAAAAAAAAACAGAACAAGATAAACAACACAGGAAAGAAGCATGGACTAACAACATTCATGGGTGCTCAGCATCCCCGATTAACATCTCTAACTAATCAACTGATATGCTAGCTGTAGAATGTAATAATATAAACAAGGCATTGCACTAGCACTGGTCTTTTATTTCTGACATTCAAAACCCCAAACAACCTGAGTCCTAGTATTAATATTTGAGGTAAATATTCAGAAACTAATATGATTTGTGTTTATTGATTGTTAGACGGGCGGATTGTGATGGATATCTACTCCCATCTTTCTTGTAGAATCTGAGCAACTGTTGATTATAAAGGAAGAAAAGCATGTAATCTGATTCACGTATTTCTTTCTTTCCATTTTTTATTCTGTATAGTCATGTGTGACCAAAACCGTCATTTGCAATATATCTGTGATTGATATTGTAAAATCAACTTATCTCTTTGTTTTCCCATCATAATATTCTGTTCCCAGCAAGAGAATCAACACTTACCTAAATTTTTCCTGAAGAACAGCCGCTGCAATATACTCCTGCTAGAAACCTTTGTAAATATAAGAAAATTATCTTTTTATATTCTCTTTTCCTTGTGTGTTTTTCAGGAAAGACTCATGCTTACGGAGGTAAAACAGAAATGCCTGAATCTTGTTGTTTGCAAAAAGCTCCTCAACCATAGATCTATCTTTGTCATTCAGACCGACATGGTGTAATCCAATGCCAAACTGCAAGGTGTGCCTCAGGTTAAAGAACCATCTGCTGGGCTTCTTCTGGCATACTAAGAAACTGCCTTGGATGTTCATCTGACCAGCCCAGGCCGCCTAGATCCGCCCAGGCCGCCTAGATCAGCCCAGGCCGCCTAGGCGCCGCCTAGATCCGGCCAGGCCACCTAGGCGCCGCCTAGGCCCCCCCTAACTCCCTGGGGTCGGTTTCCTCCGGCCTAGCGTCTAGGCTGATATCTCAAACACAGCTCAAAACCTGGAACGGGCTTGCTCTGTGCCATAGACGTTCGTAGTGATGAGTTCGAGCCCGATTCGCCAGAATATGTTTAAAAACCGAATATAGCCGAGCGGCTATACTATTTTAAAACAAATTAAGAAAATACCGAGTAAAACCTAACGTTATTCTCGCCATCAGGCCAAGTAACAATGAAAAAGAAACCAGAAGTTTATATTTTGAAATGAGAAGAATGTTTGGGATAATAAGGAAGACTTGGGGTACATCAATATCAGGTATAGTTTTCTTTGACAATTGACATTAGGAAGACTTGAGATCAGGTAAAGTCCTTTTCTATCTGTCTCTGGCAGCTGGTATAGTTTGGATAGAATTAATTTACACCAATATCAGGTGATTTTCTTGACAATAGTTTATTCATATCGAATATGTATGGTGCATTAGCAGATGCTCATGTTTAAGAGTATTTTTTAGCAATATCCTGGAGGTTGGAGAACAGCTTACAACAAACATGAACATGTGATCAGAACCATTTATCACTTTGACTTCATCTGGTGGATTTAACTATGCTACGAATTAGATTTCTTCGCCTATCCTCGTTGAGGAAAAAAAATTGGAAATTCTATACATAGAATCTAAATTACCTTAACTACAAAGCTTGTTCTTCTATTCCTTCACTGCTCAATGTAACAACGTTCATCCACAGTGCATTCACTCCTTAAAAATCTCCATATATTGCCTCAAAGAGTCATGAGGATCTCAAAGCACTCTTTCCAGCATTGTCTGACTGTGGCCCAGTTGCCTGACTCAAAGAAACTCAAAGAGTTTTCGTCGAGACTTGGCCTCATTGGTTGGCAAGATCTCATTTTATCACTTCAACTCAAAGGAATAAGTGATGCTCTGCAAAAATCTGTGCTGATAAGTTCATTCTTTTAGAAGTTTATTTCTCTTCCTCAAAACAGAGTTCCTGAAATCTTGTTAAGCTGCAAGCAAAGAGCAACCAGTTTAGTTCGGATAAGTCGTGATCACGAGGAACGAATGAAACTAAAAGTGAAAGAAAGAAGTTGACTGTAGTAAATTCAAAATAAAATCAAACCCTATAGTAAGAGTAATCACTAGTTTACTGGGAAGCATAATGAAACTCATTTCAAAGAGACGTACCGGTTCAGAAGAACATTAGGATTGTAGGGAAACAGATTCTTTTGGTGTAGAACTTCAATAGAAATTTTAAGTGAAAGTAAGCACTCTTTGGCTTCTTTGAAATACTGTCCTCCATTTTGGGTGTGCTTGCAGCCATTTTCATTTTCTTCATCAGGTTCATCATCAAGAAATGTAAGATGATTTTTTGTTGGTGCAAGAGAATCCTCTCCCCAGGAACGAGACACCCAATGAAACTTTTCTTTTCTTGCAAAATGATTGATTTGTAGCTTGCCCACCCACTAGAAATTCCACAAATAAGCGCCATGAATCACACACTTTACGCAAGCACCTAAAAGAGAATGCATTAGGGACGGTAAGAAGCAAATGAAAGATACAAAGAGTTGCAATTAAAAACAACTGTCTGGGGTCAACCAAATTGAGTCTTGTTTTGCTAATTAGTTAAGAAGTCATGTAAAAGCAGAGGGTTAATGTTTTATAGTTTAGTCACCGAGGTCAACACCAGAAAAATGCAGCCCACCACGGTTTAGATTTCGTAAGTTAAGAGAAGGTGTAGAAAGAGAAAAGACCTTAAAAGATATTCTGCACAACTGATTCCGGTATCTTTTGAAATAAGGTAATCAAGAAGCACCTGATGGTCATAGCTCAACTGCAAAATAGGAAGAAAAAAGAAAATGCACAATGTCAGTGATACTTTTTATTCTGCAACAGCATATACTTCAAATTAACAACTAGGAGGCATGCCGAAGTGGAAATGCAGATACGTAAATGTCCAAGAGTGAGCATCTTGCCTCTAATTGGAAAAGATGGAACAAGAGTATAGGATTGAAAAGATCTGAGACACGGAAAAGTAAATTGCCATTCGAATCCTACAATGCAACCTTTTCCTTTTCATCCCTATATAAACAAAAAATCTTGTTAAAAGGAATCCATGACGATAACTTTTAAAACAATGGAAAACTAGGATATTAATTCCTTACTGTCTGCACAACAAGGTACACAAGGCAGATGCAAGAGCACTTTGAATAATTCATCATCCTACAGTTCAAAAACAAGCCAAGAAATGAGGACATGAGTCTAAAAAACTGCAAGAAAAATACGACAAATGAAGAATACAGAACTGCAATTTTAGTACGTGAAATTGTTGAATAAGATGATGCATTCAGATAGACAAAATAAAATATGAATACAGTTTTTCTTTTTTGGGTCTGGGTGAATAGATTGCCTATTTTGCTTATATCACGTTGCATATAAACATAGACAAAAAAAACTCCTAGTTTCAAAGATAAAGAAGACATACCTCTTTGATATACAGTTGGATGAAGGATTTGGCAAAGTCAACACATTCTACAAAATACATTCATGGTCCACTGTCAAATTAGCTGGAAGATGGCCTTCAAGCTCCAAGAGACCTTTCTTTCTTAGACAGTAACATTAGGCTTCTAGTACTAGAAAGAAATCAATAAAGCAGAAAGGCATTGGTGAGCAATGCCAATGCGCCTCCCTCCACTAACCGACCTCTCCCTGCATGCCTGTTGACGACTAATAATTTATCCTTTCCTTTTCTTTACCCCAACCAAGACCACCAGGAATTATAAATCTCTCATCCCTCTTCATTTGCCTCCCAATTCTCACTCTCTCAACAACAGAAACACAGTTTTCTATCTCTTCCTTTCACTCCACACGAAACAAAACCCTCATTTCTTATGCCTTTCCTTATTTTATGTCACCTTTCCACCTTCTCACACACTATATACATGTCACCTTTGCTCCTTCGCACCAGCAAGTTTCGTCTGTCTTCATTTGGAAAAAAAAAGGACACGACCCGCCCTGGTGCCCAGGCCGCCTAGGCACCGCCTAGATCCTCCCAGGCCGCCTAGGCGCCTCCCAGATCCTCCCAGGCCTCCTAGGCGCCGCCCAGATCCACCCAGGCCGCCTAGGCCCCCCCTAACTCCCTGGTGTCGGTGTTCTCCCGCCTAGCGCCTAGGCCGATATCTCGAACACTGCTCAAAACCTGGAACGGGCTTGCTCTGTGCCCTAGACGTTCGTAGTGATGAGTTCGAGTCCGATTCGACAGAATTTTTTTTTTAAGAAAAAAAAACCGAGTATAGCCGAACGGCTATACTATTTAAAAAAAATTAAAGCGGCCCGCAATACAGTTTTCACAGAATTAGGTGCACACTGGTATAGCCGTACGGCTGTACTATTTCCCAAAAAAAAATAAGGAAAAAACCTAGTATAGCCGCGTGGAAGTACTTTTTAAAATATAAATTTGGAAAAAAAACAGTACAGCCGATCGGCTATACTATTTTTCAAAAAATATGAACCACCACTCTAACCTTTCTAAGAGAATGGATTCATCTTCATAGGAATCTTTGGATCTACCATATGAACCACCTTTGGCTACCATTTTTTGCTCTTATTGTTCCTTCTTTTTGTGTAAAATTTGAATTTTATAACTATTGTGCACGAATTATAATAATTTGAGAAAATTTTTATACATCACATCAACATGTCATGTGGATATGTACACAAGCAATAAAATAACTTCTCAAGTGAGTCAGCGAATTACTAAAGTATTTTCATGATCACCAATTTATTGATTCGATTTAGCACTCCAGACATAAATTTGTTTTGGTAAGGCTCCATGAACGTAATATTTTAAACGTATAGCCGCGCGGCTATACCCTTGAAATATCATCATCTGAATATCTCTTTTTTAATTACTTTATTTAGTAGTTATGTTTTAATTATTATTTACTTAGTGAATAATTAGTATTTAAGTATTTTATTAAAGAAAAAAATTAAAAAACCAATTACTATTTATTAAGTAATATCTTTATGAAGTTAATTAAAATATTTAATACTAATTATTCACACAAAAAATATTGATTAAAACATAATTACTAATGAAAGTAATTAAATAAGGCTAAGATTTTATTGAATTACAAAAAAGAAAATTTAAAATAAAAATGTACTGACCTAAAGATACTAAGTTTATACTTATTATTTAAAAAAACCTTTGCCGACGAACTTCCATTGGCATAGGTCTATCTCGGTGCAATTTTGCAGAATTAGCCCTCTTTCGACGACATTTCGTCGGCCTAGGAAGCTTTCCTCGGGTGAGGTCTAATCCGGCAAATAGTTGCTGGCATAGACCTATGGTCTTCTTGCTATTTATTTATTTTTGTTAAATATAAAATTAGTTTCTTTACTTTTATTTTTGCCCAACTTCTTTAATTTCACATATATGTCATTAAGTAATATCTTTGCCTTTTTTTTTTTTTTTTTTTTTTTTTTTTTTTTTTTTTTTTTTTTTTTTTTTTTTTTTTTTTTTTTTTTTTTTTTTTTTTTTTTTTTTTTTTTTTTTTTTTTTTTTTTTTTTTTTTTTTTTTTTTTTTTTTTTTTTTTTTTTTTTTTTTTTTTTTTTTTTTTTTTTTTTTTTTTTTTTTTTTTTTTTTTTTTTTTTTTTTTTTTTTTTTTTTTTTTTTTTTTTTTTTTTTTTTTTTTTTTTTTTTTTTTTTTTTTTTTTTTTTTTTTTTTTTTTTTTTTTTTTTTTTTTTTTTTTTTTTTTTTTTTTTTTTTTTTTTTTTTTTTTTTTTTTTTTTTTTTTTTTTTTTTTTTTTTTTTTTTTTTTTTTTTTTTTTTTTTTTTTTTTTTTTTTTTTTTTTCTCTGAAATATGGCCAATGATGCCACTCTTCCTTGATCAAACTTGGATTAGTGACTGGCCCAATTATCGCAGGTGCTCTTCTTGATATGTATGCAAAGCGAGGAAGCATTTGTGAGTCCAAAAGAGTTTTCAGTGAGACGCCTCATAAAAGTCAGTTTGCTTGGATTGCAATAATATCTGCATATGCTGGGCATGGAGACTATGACTCAGTGATAGAATTGTTCAAGGAGATGGAGAGAGAAGGGGTAAGACCTGATTCAGTCACATTTCTTTCTATACTAGCAGCAGGCTGCAGAAATGGAATGGTGGAGATGGGCCGTCACCTCTTTCATTCAATGGTGAAGGACTATCATATTGAACCATCTCCTCAACATTATTCAAGTATGGCGGACATGTTGGGACGTGCAGGGAAATTGGAGGAAGCAGAGGAATTGATGAGTCAGATCCCGGGACAGCCAGGGTTTTCATTGTTGCATAGCCTGCTCGGGGCTTGCAGGATCCATGGGAATGTGGAGATGGCGGAGAGAGTAGCCAATACATTAATGAGATTGGAACCAATGGAATCAGGTTCTTTTGTGTTGATGTCCAACTTGTATGCTGAGAAAGGGGACTGGGAAATGGTAGCAAAAGTTGGGAAATGGAAGAGAGATGAAGGAGTGAGAAAGGAATTGTGATATAGTTGGGTGGATACTGGTGATGCTGATGGTTCCCTGTATCTGCATGGGTTTTCATCAGGTGGTACATCCCACCCACACAGTCTGGGGAGATATGTAGAATGGCAAAATGTCTAGGATTAGAGATGAAGATTTTGAGAGAGAACATGTGGGAGACAAAATCACTGAAAATGGACTCCTTCTCAAGGCCCTCACTTTGAAGGCTTGAATCTGTACATGTGAAACTTCAAAAGTAACTCATGATTGTTAAGAAGTTCTGTAGCCAAATGTCAAAATAAAAACAGGAAATTCATCTTGAGGTAATTCAAAAATGGAAAAACGTGGTCGGCGGGGATTCGAACCTGGGCGGTACCACTCCGGCACAACCACTTGATGGGCGCTGGTCTACATCTTTTCCTATATTACTACTTCCTGTTCACATTGTTGAAGAGCCACCATTCAGAGATGAAACTTACAAGACAACAATAAAATAGTTATTATTTAAATTTTGCAGCCATTGCGTTTTTTAGTTAGATTATCCCCAGAATGTTTTTCTTTTGTTTTTCTGAAGAGGACAGGAGTTAGAACTTGGTAGCTGTTCTAACACTGCTAGTTCATCGCAAAACTATTTGATAAAATGCTCTAGCCACCGCTACCTGGTCTACTCAAGGTCCAAAACTTTTGTATGGTAATGCCAAAATTGAGGATGTTATGAAGTTGCATCTTTGAATTTTACAAGGTTGCTAAAAATCTTGTAACAGGTAATGTGTAGAAAGGTGCTAAAAATCGTAAAATTAATTGGCAAGAAGAGCTGCCACAAATAAAAATCTTGTAACTGGTAATGTGTAGAAAGGTCCAAAACCTTTGGATTGGATTCTTATTTTTTGTTGTTGCATTTATGGGTTTAAAACCCGTATTATTTCTTATAAATAAAATCCATTTTTTATTCTTGCCTAATGAGAGCCGGAAATCATTAGAATGTGAGGTATCGGAAAGAATTTAAATTCTCATTCCCCAATATCACTGGTATAAATAAAATAATTGAAGAAATAACTCTATCCTAATTAGCTAAAGTTGTATTTTAGCCCTAAGCCCTAAAATATCATGACAAAATTGTATATTTAAAGAGTGTAGCCGCCCGGCAGTACTATTTAAATATATTATTTTAACGGTATAGCCGTTCGGCTGTACTGATTGAATATATTCGAATATTTTAAAGGTATAGCCGCCCGGCTATACGCTTCATATGTATTCGAAACCAACACGAAGCTTGCACTTGCACTCGCAGTCGCGGCCGTTTCGCTTCTCTATAAGCGCTTCCAAGCTTCAAAGACTCTCTCTCTCTCTCTCTCAAGCTTTAAAAAAAAAAAAATTCTTTCGTTTCGGCTGCTGTGTTGATTGGATTGGATTGGACTCTCTGTATGAAAACCATCAAATGTCATTCAGCTATTGAAATCTCCACTAATTAAGATAACTCTGATGCTATAAGGGAGTTAGGCAGCTTGGGCTGGTCTAGGCGGCGCCTAGGCGGCCTGGGCGGTTCTAGGCGGCGCCTAGGCGGCCTGGGCGGTTCTAGGCGGCGCCTAGGCGGCCTGGGCGGTTCTAGGCGGCACCTAGGCGGCCTGGGCGGGTCTGGGCGTCCTTTTTTTTTCAAATGAACACAGATGAAGCTTGCACTCGCAGAGTTATGTGGTGCGCGAGTGAAATGAAGAGACAGAGAAACGAACACGAAGCTTGCACTCGCAGTCCAATCTTCAAAATTCAAATACTCGGTCTTGAGCCTCTCTCTCAACAAAAGCTTGGATTTTTTTTCTTCGGTTCGGCTGCTGTGTTGATTCGATTTTGTTTGTGCTTTTCTGTTATTGAAGTTGGCAATGTCAGATGAACATCCAAGGCAGTTTCTTAGTATGCCAGAAGAAGCCCAGCAGATGGTTCTTTAACCTGGGGCACACATTGCAGTTTGGTATTGGATTACACCATGCCGGTCTGAATGACAAAGATGGACCTCTGGTGACACGGACGACTATATTTCGGTGAGTGTGCGTTTGTGCTGTGGCTTCTCTTGTTTGGTTGCTGAGAAAATGTTGAGAAACCAGGAAGAAATTGAGTAATTTGTTTACTGGAATTATGTTTATTTAACAAAACATAGATATTAAGTATATATTGTGTAATACCAGCTGGCTGGCTATTGTATTTGGTTTTGTGAAATTCTAAAATGTTATATTATTTTATCTTTTGTGTGGTATTCTGTAGCAATCCTTTTCAGGAATGTTTTCAGAATTTCATGCCTATTTCAGTCAATGGATCGAGGTGAGTGTTTTGCTGTTATTGATTCTATTTAATTGAGTTAGTCTATATCTATCTTCTAATCCCTTTTTAGTCCTTGACTTGTGTTAATTTTCCTAGGTAACAAATGTCCTTTGTGCCCAACAGTTCTTTTCATTACTCCTAGAACATGTGCTTGTAATAATTGAATGAGATGCTTGTATTATTTGACATCAGAATTGTTGCTTTATGGTTTTCTATACCTATGCTGTTTGTAATGGACATGGTTGCGCATCCCCCAGGAGTTCCACCTATTATAGATTAAGTCTGGCATTCTCACTTTTACAGAGTATGATAATTAGTGGATTTGTGGTTTCTAGATTTTGGAAAGAAAAAAAAATTCCAAGTAATATGAAATTAGAATGATATGTGCATTCTAATTTTTTGTGCTTAATTAGTGTTATAGCTTTCAGAGTTTACCAAGATTGTTTGCTTCAGTTCTGACACCTTCAATATCTTCTTTTTGTTTTTCCCATTGTGACACTTAAGGAAGTTGGAGAACGATACAATGACAAACTTTGGTGTTGAAATGATGCCACTCTTTCTAATGGATGGTGTCCTCCCATTTCAGAAGTTTGAGTGCAAAACAATTACACATTTGGTAGTGTTTTGAGTGCAATTGGTGATGCTCAGGATATTTCTCTGAAATATGGCCAATGATGCCACTCTTCCTTGATCAAACTTGGATTAGTGACTGGCCCAATTATCGCAGGTGCTCTTCTTGATATGTATGCAAACCAAGGAAGCATTTGTGAGTCCAAAAGAGTTTTCAGTGAGACGCCTCATAAAAGCCAGTTTGCTTGGATTGCAATAATATCTGCATATGCTGGGCATGGAGACTATGACTCCGTGATAGAATTGTTCAAGGAGATGGAGAGAGAAGGAGTAGACCTGATTCAGTCACATTTCTTTCTATACTAGCAGTAGGCTGCAGAAATGGAATGGTGGAGATGGGCCGTCACCTCTTTCATTCAATGGTGAAGGACTATCATATTGAACCATCTCCTCAACATTATTCAAGTATGGTGGACATGTTGGGATGTGCAGGGAAATTGGAGGAAGCACAAGAATTGATGAGTCAGATCCCGGGACAGCCAGGGTTTTCATTGTTGCATAGCCTGCTCGGGGCTTGCAGGATCCATGGGAATGTGGAGATGGCGGAGAGAGTAGCCAATACATTAATGAGATTGGAACCAATGGAATCGGGATCTTTTGTGTTGATGTCCAACTTGTATGCTGAGAAAGGGGACTGGGAAATGGTAGCAAAAGTTGGGAAATGGAAGAGAGATGAAGGAGTGAGAAAGGAATTGTGATATAGTTGGGTGGATACTGGTGATGCTGATGGTTCCCTGTATCTGCATGGGTTTTCATCAGGTGGTATATCCCAACCACACAGTCTGGGGAGATATGTAGAATGGCAAAATGTCTAGGATTAGAGATGAAGATTTTGAGAGAGAACATGTGGGAGACAAAATCACTGAAAATGGACTCCTTCTCAAGGCCCTCACTTTGAAGGCTTGAATCTGTACATGTGAAACTTCAAAAGTAACTCATGATTGTTAAGAAGTTCTGTAGCCAAATGTCAAAATAAAAAAAGGAAATTCATCTTGAGGTAATTCAAAAATGGAAAAACGTGGTCGGCGGGGATTCGAACCTGGGAAGTACCACTCCGGCACAACCACTTGATGGGCGCTGGTCTACATCTTTTCCTATATTACTACTTCCTGTTCACATTGTTGAAGAGCCAACATTCAGAGATGAAACTTACAAGACAACAATAAAATAGTTATTATTTAAATTTTGCAGCCATTGCATTTTTCATTTAGATTATCCCCAGAATGTTTTTCTTTTGTTTTTCTGAAGAGGACAGGAGTTAGAACTTGGTAGCTGTTCTAACACTGCTAGTTCATCGCAAAACTATTTGATAAAATGCTCTAGCCACCGCTACCTGGTCTACTCAAGGTCCGAAACCTTTGTATGGTAATGCCAAAATTGAGGATGTTATGAAGTTGCATCTTTGAATTTTACAAGGTTGCTAAAAATCTTGTAACAGGTAATGTGTAGAAAGGTCCAAAACCTTTGGATTGGATTCTTATTTTTTGTTGTTGCATTTATGGGTTTAAAACCCGTATTATTTCTTATAAATAAAATCCATTTTTTATTCTTGCCTAATGAGCTAATAGCTGGAAATCATTAGAATGTGAGGTATCGGAAAGAATTTAAATTCTCATTCCCCAATATCACTGGTATAAATAAAATAATTGAAGAAATAACTCTATCCTAATTAGCTAAAGTTGTATTTTAGCCCTAAGCCCTAAAATATCATGACAAAATTGTATATTTAAAGAGTATAGCCGGTCGGCTGTACTATTTAAATATATTATTTTAACGGTATAGCCGTGCGGCTGTATTCCTTGAATATATTCGAATATTTTAAAGGTCTAGCCGACCGGCTATACGCTTCATATGTATTCGAAACCAACACGAAGCTTGCACTTGCACTCGCAGTCGCGGCCGTTTCGCTTCTCTATAAGCGCTTCCAAGCTTCAAAGACTCTCTCTCTCTCTCTCTCTCAAGCTAAAAAAAAATTCTTTCGTTTCGGCTGCTGTGTTGATTGGATTGGATTGGACTCTCTGTATGAAAACCATCAAATGTCATTCAGCTATTGAAATCTCCACTAATTAAGATAACTCTGATGCTATAAGGGAGTTAGGCAGCTTGGGCTGGTCTAGGCGGCGCCTAGGCGGCCTGGGCGGTTCTAGGCGGCGCCTAGGCGGCCTGGGCGGTTCTAGGCGGCGCCTAGGCGGCCTGGGCGGTTCTAGGCGGCGCCTAGGCGGCCTGGGCGGTTCTAGGCGGCACCTAGGCGGCCTGGGCGGGTCTTTTTTTTCAAATGAAGCTTGCACTCGCAGAGTTATGTGGTGCGCGAGTGAAATGAAGAGACAGAGAAACGAACACGAAGCTTGCACTTGCAGTCCAATCTTCAAAATTCAAATACTCGGTCTTGAGCCTCTCTCTCAACACAAGCTTGGATTTTTTTTCTTCGGTTCGGCTGCTGTGTTGATTCGATTTTTGTTTGTGCTTTTCTGTTATTGAAGTTGGCAATGTCAGATGAACATCCAAGGCAGTTTCATAGTATGCCAGAAGAAGCCCAGCAGATGGGTCTTTAACCTGGGGCACACATTGCAGTTTGGCATTGGATTACACCATGCCGGTCTGAATGACAAAGATGGACCTCTGGTGACACGGACGACTACATTTTGGTGAGTGTGCGTTTGTGCTGTGGTTTCTCTTGTTTGGTTGCTGAGAAAATGTTGGGAAACCAGGAAGAAATTGAGTAATTTGTTTACTGGAATTATGTTTATTTAACAAAACATAGATATTAAGTATATATTGTGTAATACCAGCTGGCTGGCTATTGTATTTGGTTTTGTGAAATTCTAAAATGTTATATTATTTTATCTTTTGTGTGGTATTCTGTAGCAATCCTTTTCAGGAATGTTTTCAGAATTTCATGCCTATTTCAGTCAATGGATCGAGGTGAGTGTTTTGCTGTTATTGATTCTATTTAATTGAGTTAGTCTATATCTATCTTCTAATCCCTTTTTAGTCCTTGACTTGTGTTAATTTTCCTAGGTAACAAATGTCCTTTGTGCCCAACAGTTCTTTTCATTACTCCTAGAACATGTGCTTGTAATAATTGAATGAGATGCTTGTATTATTTGACATCAGAATTGTTGCTTTATGGTTTTCTATACCTATGCTGTTTGTAATGGACATGGTTGCGCATCCCCCAGGAGTTCCACCTATTATAGATTAAGTCTGGCATTCTCACTTTTACAGAGTATGATAATTAGTGGATTTGTGGTTTCTAGATTTTGGAAAGAAAAAAAAATTCCAAGTAATATGAAATTAGAATGATATGTGCATTCTAATTTTTTGTGCTTAATTAGTGTTATAGCTTTCAGAGTTTACCAAGATTGTTTGCTTCAGTTCTGACACCTTCAATATCTTCTTTTTGTTTTTCCCATTGTGACACTTAATGACATTAAACAAAAGAAATTCCCAGAGGAATTTGAACGATACAATGACAAACTTTGGTGTTGATATGATGCCACTCTTTGTAATGGATGGTGTCCTCCCATTTCAGAAGTTTCTGCTACCCATTTTTGAACCTCGGTATAGACTTATGGTAAGTTGGTTAGCAGTTTGTATTTTTCACATATGACTTTCATAAAATATTTAAACGTAGAAGTGCATTTGCTGCAAAATAACTATGTTGAAAATGTTATCTAGCAAGTTTTGTATGCCTACTTGGTACTTTTCTACGGTCCATGTGATCCATGTGTTTTGTTGTTTTTGTTGAATATTCATAGATTTTTGCTTGTACCTTGTCACTTAAACAACGGATAAGGAGTATAATGGAAGGCAACTGTCGGATGGAAACGGTAGATTAGTGTCACTGGTCCTTTTCTTTCCCTTTTAACTTTCATAAGGTACATAAAGTTTGACCCAAAGTATAAGTTTCAATCTCTACTTTTGCGCTCTGTTTACATTGTTTTAATGCATTATGAATGCTAAAACTGATCTACTTTTCATTTAATGAACAATTATCCTTTATTTTTTGTCTTTATTTATACACCCGAGGTTGCAAATTAACTATTAGGCTTATCTATGATAAATATTTCCATATCAGAACGTATTTTGTTTGAAGTTATGATGTTTTTTTTTAATGATCCATTCACACACTTATAATAATACTATTTCATGCAGATTGAAAGTCACTGACGGTTTCGTATAATTCGATCTTGGGACCAAGATGGATGAGTTGTCTTATGAGATGTCTAGCCATTCATTTGATCTTTAGTTACTGCTCTTGTTCAATATTTTTGTCTTTTGATGTGCTCTACCGTATGGGTACAGGACATATATCCACCAGAATGGTCTAGAGAGAGAGAGCAGACGTAAGTTCATGACAATTTGGTTTGCTGTAATCTCTCTATTAGAGTGTGCTCTTTTCTTTTATATTTTATTTTAAATTTTTTGTTGTAGAGAATAGTAAAAAGCTTGAGTTAAACTTGATCTGGTGCTTATCAATTCTTTTGAGTTATTTATTTATTTATTTAAATTTTTTTATTAACAAATTGGTCACACATTTTTCTAGATGCAAAGTTGCGTAGTTTTCAACTTCAATTGGCAAAACTTGGGATACAAAAATCAGATCTTAAAGTGTTGTGGATGAGGCATCTTATTTTACATGTGACATGTGACCTAATGGAATTTAGTTGTAAATCTTCAAATGTATTATAGTTGTCACTGAATTAAGTCTAATAATGTCATTGCTAAAAGGCCCTGTAGCTAGTGTATTAATATCCTGAAGTGTAACATGCATCACTGTAGGAAGATGTAGGACAAAGTTCTTCCATGTTTTTCCCCCTCATATTGGTTGCGCCTATACAGTTTTAACTTCAATACCTGTCCAGTTGCAGGAATTGACAAATAATGCAGCAGAGTATGCTCGGTTATGGATAGGGCGAGGTAAAAGAGCAGCACGTCAAGGTAAAATGCTCAGGAATGACATCAATTGAATGAACTCAGAATTTACCTTCTTTTTTGTTTTAATTTTTTTAATGGGTTATCTCCATAAGTTAAATCTCTTAGTCCTCTATAATAGGTATATGGATGGCCTTAAAAAATATCCTGAATTAGATTAATATTATTGCTTGACTGAGATTGCATGTTTCAATTTGGTGGTCAGTTGTAATGGTTGGAAATGAAGGATTAGTTTTATTAGGTTAAACCTTTTGTTCCACTGAAAAGATAGACGTACCATGATGTAGAAAAGTAGAAGACAGAAGCTCGAACAAACTTCAGTCCAATCTGAATGTAATCTTGCACAGACCAATGAAATCAGCTATCCATTGTAACATATCTGGAAACTCCACAGGTAGCTGATACACATAAAGCAAGACAATGTTGAGGCCTGTATACAAGTGAAAAGGCGTCCCCCAGTTAAAGTGTATGCAATCTATCTTCTTTCATCTTCCATGTTTGCTATTATATATACTTCTTGAAATTACTTCATGTTCATTATCCAAAAAGAGGACCAACACATTCTTTCATTTTCCAATTCTAGGTTATTTATTTCTTCTTTTTTGGATTGCCAAGGATGGTTCAATTTTATTACACTTTCTATGTTTTATTTTTTACTTTTTCATTTTGCTTGAATGATACTTCTAAGTAAATTCTTACACACAAGCAATTTTATACTACGAAATTCAAGATTCTTTTATCCCCCAAAATGTTGGTGGATCCCCTTTTTTTGTTGTTGTATTTATGGGTTTAACCCGTATTATTTCTTATAAATAAAATCCATTTTTTATTCTTGCCTAATGGACTAATAATTGGAAATCATTAGAATGGGAGGTATCAGAAAGAATTTAAATTCTCATTCTCCAATATCACTGGTATAAAAAAAATTGAAGAAATAACTCTATCCTAATTAGCTAAAGTGGTATTTTAAAATAACATGACAAAATTGTATATTTGCATAGTATAGCCGAAGGATATACTATTATTTTCAGGGTATAGCCGTGCGGCTATACGTTTCGAATATATCGAATATTTTAAAGGTACAGCACTGCCATACTATTTAAATATATTATTTTAAAAGGCACCGCCGTGCGGCTATACTATAGAATATTTTAAGGTATCGCCGTGCGGCTATACTCCTTAAGCTTGCACTCACCGTGCGGATCCCCTTTTTTTGTTGTTGTATTTATGGGTTTCCAGATCCCACTGTCCCTACAATAGCCGTCAGCTCCCCTTTATTGACATTCAAATTTATGTGTTTCAAATCCTCTTCTTTGCTTCATCATCCCAGCTAAACGCGCCATTTTTAACCACCACAGCAGTTCTACTATCACAGCCCTTGCCTCTCTCCACCGCATCCTCCACCAATTCCCTACTCATCATATAACGGTCCAACCTCCCAAGAGATATCATAGCTTGAGAAATTGAAATCATAGATTGTGGGAAGGTCCTGATGGGATCCCAAAAAATGTTGAAGATGCTTGTGGTTCTGAACAATGTCTCGGGCCGGCATCAAGCCGGACACCCAATAAGAGTGCAGTGCCAAATGTGAGAGTTGATATAAGTACTGGGGTGCACAACATTGGCAGAGATTGAATACATGAACTTGGTCAGCCAGCTAAACTCCGACTCGCGGAAAGGCTGGATTCTCTTATTAAAGTGCTCCTCCCAAGCCTGGAATTTGATCACACGCATGTAGTTAAGCATCTCATTTGTTGCCTTCATTCTTGAATCCCAACACTTCATCACATTAGATTGGAACCTGTTGTTCCGTCTCGTGCCCAGCACAACAAACACAAGAACGCACATGATTCCTACTACAGATGTTATATACTCCGTGTTTTTTTTGTTTTTTGTCAAATTAATAGTATAGCCGAGCGGCTATACTGTGCACATATAAAAATTGGGTCAGATGTCTTCTTCTTCCCAGCGTCGCCTTCTCCTTCCTCTCTCTCTCTCTCTCTCTCCGTCTTTCTTCCTAACAAGCAGCGGATCCTGCGCACTTCAACCGCCCTTCCTCCACTCCTCAACGGCAAAACGCCCGCCCAGAGCCCGCCTAGAGCCGCCTAGGGCCGCCTAGGCGGGCGCCCAGATGCGGCCTAGCTCCCTGGCGCCTACCCTTGGATGCCACATCCTGGAAGGGTACCTCTTGGTGTACCGGAACTGACTTAAGTTGGTTCGAAATTGAAAGATAATTAGCTTTCGGTTGGCGTGGAATTAGGATTACACTGTTTTCACAGTCATGTGGCAGGTCACTGGTGAATCAACCTTCCTAGTCTGATGATCTTGTACTGTAAAACCACAGCAAGGTAAGCAATGCGGCAAGGATTTTAAGAATTGAAACACTTACGTAGCTAAGTAGCAAGGATGACACACACATTTAATAAGTAACATAAGATTCTCTGTTGCACATAATCCAAATCTGCGATCAACTTGCAGAACCTACACTGTAGAGATGCTGAAGTCACTGGTTTTCAAGTATCCTGCTACATAAACTGTGTTGGATTTGTAGATGTCATAAAAGATAGACAAACCATGATGTAGAAAAGTAAAAGAGAGAAGCTCGAACAAACTTCAGTCCAATCCGAATGAAAAGTTATCTTGAATAGACCAATGAAATCAGCTATCCATTGTAACATATCTGGAAACTCCGCATGTAGCGGATATACATAAAGCAAGACAATGTTGAAGCCTGCATACAAGTGAAAGGGCGTCCCCCAGTTAAAGCATATGCAATCTATCTTCTTTCATCTTCAATGTTTACTATTATCTGTACTTCTTGAAATTGCTTCATGTTCATTATCCAAAAAGAGGACCATGATATGCAGACACATTCTTTCATTTTCTCATTCTAGGTTATTTATTTCTTCTTTTTTGGATTGCCAAGATGGTTCAATTTTATTACACTTTCTATGTTTTATTTTTTACTTTTTCATTTTGCTTGAATGATGCTTCTAAGTTCTTTCCTTCGTTTCAGGTTCGTATATGAGGACTGGTTCATGCCTCACACTGCAGCAAAATTAAAGTTCCCCTACTACTGGGATGAAAAGTGCCTTGAAGTCGAACCACCGCCAAAGGATGAGCTATGATATCTGAGAAACATTGCATTGTAGAGTATCTAGTTGTAGCAATTATTCTCACAGGTTATTCAATGTACATTTCTAAGCCCAAACCGTTTTTACAGGCAGTAATACAATTTTCAATTTTTGTTGATGATAGTGAGTGAGGTTTTGCGATTTGCAAAATGCCAAGTCAAACGTTTTATCAATATAACTCATCAGTATGAGACTACATAGGCAATAGAGACAATATACAAGCTTAACTTACCTAAATCACCATAAAAACAAGTTAAATGAGCTCATTCAAATTGCTGGTCAAGTGCAACAGATCCACTTGAAATAATCCTGTTACTACAATAACATGTTTATTAAAACAAATGAACAAAAGGCATTTTCATTGTTCATCCTCATTGAGACTTTCCTTGATAATTACCAAAGCCATTTACAAGTGTGTGACTAATTAAAAGGATTGGAAAATGACATCAAATTTTACATGTTAGAGCAGGGTAAGGTTAAATATCATACATTAGATCCACCCAGAAGAGTTTTCGGTGTCAACATTCTTCAGTTGGCAATGGCATCGCTTCTTCTTGTTTTTTCATAACAGAAGATGCAGCTTCCGCAAATATTGATATTAGAGTGTATAGCCGGGCGGCTATACTACTAAAAAATATATTTAAAACGTAGAGCCGAACAGCTATACTCGTTAAATTAAAAAATATATTTAAAGACGCCTTAAAATAAAATAAAAAAGATATTTAAAGAGTACAGCCGATGGGCTAGACTCTTTATTAAATATATATATATTTAACGGGTATAGCCGGGCGGCTATACTGTTAAAATATTCCCTATATATACGTTGTGAATATAATATTTTAAGAGTCCAGCCGATCGGCTATACCTGTAAGATACTCGAATATATTCATGTGTATCGCCGTGCGGCTGTACTGTTAAACTATTGGAACATATTCAAAGAGTATAGCCGCATGGCTATACCTTTAAAATATATTCATAGAGTATAGCCGTCTGGCTTAAAGCTTTAAATATAATATTTTCAGAGTACAGCCGCGCGGCTCGACTGTTAAAATATTCGAATATTCGAAGAGTATAGCCGGTCGGCTGTACTGTTTAAATATAATTTTTAAGACTACATCCACGAAATATTCGAATATTCGAAGAGTATAGCCGGTCGCGGTTTTCATGTCTAATTCTGTTTTTCTTTTATATCAATTTTATAATAAAAAAATATCTTCAGTGTGAATTACTTGGAAATCATGAGGCCAAGACTTGTTTTGACTTATGGAAATTTTGAATGGAATTGTGAGACATGCATGCTTAACCAATAATCTACCAATCTACCACTTAAAGATACCAGGCGCTGAGAAAACTTCATTTTTACTCAATTTTATATAAAAAGATCATTGGAAAATGAGAGAGAGACATAATACAACTGATTTGCACAAACAGCACCCTGGTCAAGAAGGTTTCAGGAAATATAATGTTCTCATCTAAACATATTCTAAACAGAATAGAGAATTGTAGGTGGTAAACTGGATTAGATTAGCTACTTCATATAGTGATTGCCACTAGTCTAAGAGGTAGGCTTCATTTGTACTTCCATTGTGTTGATAATTCCAGCACAGGGCGGATCTTCATTTTTATTTTAATGATGGGAAGACTCCCTTTATGTCACCCTTTGGTGTTATTTTTCCAGGAAAAATGCAGGCAGTGATTCTTGGAAGATTTGCAAGCACAAAAGGAATCACCGGAAGCAACGATAGAGAAACCAAAGATGGTTGCTTATAGTCCTGATGAACGGTTGGCATACTCCTGAACCAATGCCCCAAACAATGATTGTCTCTCAAGCAAGCGGGACGGTTTGTCAAATTCTTTAGCCAGTCCTGTTAAAAACACAGAAACAAAAGAATATGAGCTACAATTTTCGTGTGGTAAATAAATGCCGAACGCAACAAGGTCGAAAGAGCACTAACCTGCATCTACTACTAAAACTCTATTGCAGTCCATCACTGTAGGTATTCTGTGAGCAATGCTGATTATTGTACATGTAGCAAAATCCTCTCGGATGATCCTTTGTATTACAGCATCAGTCTGTGAATCAACTGAAGCCGTGGCCTCGTCCATGAACAAGAGCCGGCTGTGCTTTAACATGACTCGACCCAAACAGAGAAGCTGTCTTTGCCCCACACTCCAGTTGCCTCCGTCATCAGCCACTATTAAATTAAAATTTGATGGAAACAGTCAGTACCTAATCCTAATGCTAGCATGTCAGTTCCATTAGGTTTTCAATAACCAGAGAGTCACATACCTAAAGAATTGAGTTTATCAGGTTTTGCAGCTACCACATCTTTAAGTTGGCAGCGTTCAAGGCTCTACCCAAAAAAAATTACATTAAGATTTAACAAATAAACATACAGCATTGTTTCATATAACCTGACATGGGTTATTCCTATGTAATCAGGAAACCAGGTAGCAATGTGTTTACCTTCCAAATTTCTTCATCTGAATAAATTCCTACTGGATCAATGTTGCTTCTCACAGTTCCCTCAAAAAGTACAGGTTCTTGAGGAATGATTCCGAAGCGGGACCTGAGATCATGAAGTCCTAATGTGGTTATATCAATCCCATCGATGATGATTTTGCCCCCTGACGGTTCCACCAGCCTAAAGAACACTTGGACCAAAGTTGATTTCCCGCCCCCTGTTCGACCGACAACACCAATCTTCTCACCCCCCGTGAATGCTTAGACTAATGCCTTTGAGAACCAAGGGTGTATTTGGACGATATCTGACCTGTTTTCCATAAAATTAAAAACATCATCAAATGGAACAGGGCCCTTTTAGCTGGGGAAAAAGTAATGGAGATGACCAACTAATAACAACTTGCATTCAGACCACTTCATTTCTCCTTCCACTACACTATCCATGGCAGATGTACTACAAAGATACCATTTGGAAGTCAAATGGCTAGAGTGTAGCAGCTCATGGAATGTAAGTTTGGCTTTATTTTTCAGAAGATATAAACAGAATTGAAGATAAACTACCTGCAAATCTTTGAGCTCGACATTGCCTTGGGAAGGCCAATTTGAAGGAGGAACACGGTCTTTTATCTCCCATTCTGCTTCTGATGGGATGTTTGTAAACTGTTTTATCCTCTCAACCGAAACCATCCTATTTTCAACAAAGCAGCTCATATAAACGGCCCAGAACAGCACACCGTTCAAGGACAATCCGTAGGAGAGAGTTAAACCAACATTCTCTGTACCATGAAGGAATAACTGATTTAGCCAAATTTCTGAAATAGACACTCATCTACTGCAGCTAATTTATATCAGATGTGTCAAAATAAGATGCTAACACACACCTCAAATCAATAAGACATTATAATAATAACCATAAACTGAAGCATAATTATTATTTATTTCGGCATCGCATATCACGAGTGACCATGAATCAAGTGCTAGATATGAGTGTTGCACAATTAAAAAAGGGATGGGAGGATTTACATACCTGGCTTTATAATACTGCTTGGCAATAAGATCATGAATACAGTGGAAATGCAGAGAATTAAACTCCCAAGCATCTCCAAACGGAAACCCAACCACTCATTGGATCCGTAGTTGTGGAAATCCATACGTAAATTGGCATTAACACGTTTAACATTTTCCTTGGAGAACATGTTCTGCCTTCTGAAAGAGCGGATCGTCACCACCCCTGATATGCTTTCTGAGAAGTGATGGATAACAGGAGCTTTTGTGATTGAATCCAGCCGAGTTAATTCACGAGATGATGCAAGATAGTAACCCTAAAATCCAAACAGAAGAAAGATCTTCAGCATATAATTAAGGCGACACCAATAGTTACAGAGTCATATGGTTTTGGTTTAAACAAAGTTTTTGCCATCAAGTTTGACATTTTTGCATTCATGGATAAGCCAAAATGTCAAACTTTGCCAGTAATTCAAAGGATCAGGAGTTGGATTCATACACATTATTTAAAATGACCAATACATGGCCACAATCATATTATTTATTCTTGATGACCAATAACATGCATGACCAAGATCATAGAAAAGGGTGCTTCAGTGCAATCCATTCACATATGTCTAACACATTCATTGCAACATTATAGTTAAATATCAACAGCATGATAGAAAGAATTAACATACCCGGTACCATATATTAAGCCAAATAAGTGGAATCAGCAAGAATATTGTTGGCCACGAATTTTGGCATACGATGATATACTCTTTAAGTATAATATTTTCAGAGTACAGCCGTGCGGCTATACTTTTACAATATTCGATTCTATTCAAGGGTATAGCCACGGCTATACTCTTTAAATATAATATTTTCAGAGTACAGCAGTTCGGCTATACTTGCAAAATATTCGAATATATTTAAAACGTATAGCCGTCCGGATATAATGTTAAAATATTCGAATATATTCAAAACGTATAGCCGGTCGGCTACACCTTTTAAATATAATATTTCCAGAGTACAGCCGAACGGCTGTATGTTTACAATATTATACCCGCTCGGCTAAGCTTTAAATATAATATTTTCAGAGTCCAGCCGATCGGCTATACCTTTACAATATTCGAATATATTATAAGGGTATAGCCGCCCGGCTATACTGTTTAAATATAATAAGTCAAGCCGTTCAGCTATAACGTTAAAATATTCTTAATATAATATTTTCAGCGTACAGCCGCGCGGTTCGACTCTTTAAAAATAATTTTTTTAAATATTCTTGTAGACCCTTCAATTTGATTGAGCAAGCGATTTATAAAACCCAACTTCAACTGCACTTTCATATAAGACCAACTCAAATTATTGAATCCATTTCCTCTAGATCACATTTATTTAACACAGGATAACTGCATTAGAAGGAAGAAAAGGTAAAAGACAAACCACAAGAAGGTAAAGCAATGCGGCAAGGAATTTAAGAATTGAAACACTTACGTAGCAAAGTAGCAAGGATGACACACACACACATTTGATAAGTAACGTAAGATTCTCTGTTGCACATAATCCAAATCTGCATGGTTCATAACTGATCAATTTGCTTGGATGATATAACCATACCATCCAGGAATGAATTATTACTTGCCGAACCTACACTTTAGAGAAGCTAAAGTCACTGGTTTTCAAGTATCCTGCATAAACTGTGTTGGATTTGTAGATGTCATAAAAGATAGAAGTACTATGATGTAGAAAAGTAAAGACAGAAGCTCGAACAAACTTCAGTCCAATCCGAATGTAATCTTGCACACACCAGTGAAATCAGCTATCCATTGTAACATATATCTGGAAACTCCACAGGTAGCTGATACACATAAAGCAAGACAATGTTGAGGCCTGTATACAAGTGAAAAGGCGTCCCCCAGTTAAAGCGTATGCAATCTATCTTCTTTCATCTTCCATGTTTGCTATTATCTATACTTCTTGAAATTACTTCATGTTCATTATCCAAAAAGAGGACCATGATATGCAGACACATTCTTTCATTTTCCAATTCTAGGTTATTTATTTCTTCTTTTTTGGATTGCCAAGGATGGTTCAATTTTATTACACTTTCTATGTTTTATTTTTACTTTTTCATTTTGCTTGAATGATGCTTCTAAGTAAATTCTTGCACAAGCAATTTTATAATACGAAATTCAAGATTCTTTTATCCCCAAAATGTTGGTGGATCCCCTTTTTGTTGTTGTTGTATTTATGGGTTTAACCCGTATTAATTCTTATAAATAAAATCCATTTTTATTCTTGCCTAATGGACTAATAGCTGGAAATCATTAGAATGAGAGGTATCGGAAAGAATTTAAATTCTCATTCCCCAATATCATTGATATAAAAAAAATAATTGAAGAAATAACTCTATCCTAATTAGCTAAAGTGGTATTTTAAAATAACATGACAAAAATGTATATTTACATAGAATCGCCGCACGGCTATACTATTTAAATATATTATTTTCAAGGTATAGCCCTGCGGCGATACGCTTCGAATATATTAGGTACAGACAAGCGTCTATAATACTTAAATATATTATTTTCACGATATCGCCGCTCGCTATGGTCTAGAATATTTTATGGTATAGCCGAACGGCTATACTGCTTAAATATATTCACAAACGCGAAGCTTGCACTCGCAGTCACAGCCATTTCGCTTCTCCATAAGCGCTTCCAAGCTTCAAAGACTCGGTCTTGAGCCTCTCTCTCTCTCTCAACTCAAACTTCGATTTTTTTCCTTTCGTTTCGGCTGCTCCGTTGATTGGATTGGATTGGAATCTCTCTACGAAATCCATCAAATGTCATTCAGCCATTGAAATCTCCACTAAGATAACAACTCTGATACTATAAGGGAGTTAGGCGGCCTGGGCGATCTAGCGGCTGGACGGTTCTAGGCGGCAGGGGACGGTTCTAGGCGGCGCCTAGCGGTCTAGGCGGTTCTAGGCGGTTCTAGGCGGCTCTGGTGGGTCTAGGCGGCGCCTAGGTGGCCTGGGCGGGTCTGGCCGCCTCTTTTTTGTTCCAAATGAAGACAGACGAAACTTGCACTCACAGAGGAATGTGGTGCGCGAGTGGAATGAAGAGACAGAGAAACGAACACGATGAAGTTACCGTTACCCTTAGAGCCCTTGACATGTTCTGTACGCAACTTCAACTACATTTGTCTCATATCATCGATGAAAATACCGTTACCCTTGCTATCAAGGCCTGTCAAGGGGACCCCAAATCCAGATACTTCATACTACGGTTTCAAATTCTTTGATGAGGTTGTACACCAAAGCTGGACAGTTTGACGGTCAGTTTGATGGTCCCTTACTTATCTTTCAGACTATGTGCTGTACTGATATAGTTTCTTGGAATACTATTCTTTCGTGGTTTCGAACAAGTGAGGGTGCATTGAATTTTGCTCTTATGATGAATTTTAATGGAGTTCTTTTTTATCCAGTGACTTATACTACGATTCTTGCTTTTTGTGCGGATCATGAAGATTTTCTATTTGGATTATAACTGCATTCTCTTATATTTAAGTCTGGTTTAGATGGTGAAGTTTTTTTTTATAAGTATGTATTCGAGGTAGAGGCGGTTAATAGAAGCTAGGAATGTGTTTGATGAAATGGCGAATGAGGATGTGGTTTCATGGAATGCAATACTAGCAGGTTACTCTCAAGAGGGAAATCATGGGCTTGAGGCGATTTTTGTCTTTATAGAGATGGTGGGGAAGAAGGGATGGGTTTAGATCATGTCTCATTTACTAGTGCAGTTTCAGCTTGTGGTCATGAAATGAATTTAGAACTTGGGAAACAGATACATGGCTTGACAATTAAATCAGGATATGGAAGTCATGTTTCAGTTTGTAATGTATTGATCTCGACATATTCAAAGTGTGAGGTTACTGAAGATGCAAAATTAGTCTTTCAGTGCATGAATGATCGCAACATAGTGTCTTGGACAACTATGATTTCAATAGACGAAGAAGATGCCATCTCTCTATTTAATGAGGTGAGATTGGATGGAGTATATCCAAATGATGTTACATTTGTTGGAATAATCCATGCTATATCAATTAGGAAGTTGGTGGAGGAAGGCGAAATGATTCATGGGTTTTGCATAAAGACTGGCTTTTTATCAAAGCGTAATGTTTGCAACAGCTTGGGTATGCTAAGTTTGAGTCCATGCATGACTCCATCAAAGTTGGAGTTAAACTGCAGAGAAATCATATCGTGGAATGCTTTGATTTCAGGGTATGCTCAGAAAGGGCTGTGTCAAGATGCACTAAAAACATTCTTAATTAGTAGCAACTATGGAGTCAAAGCCAAACAATTACACATTTGGTAGTGTTTTGAGTGCAATTGGTGATGCTCAGGATATTTCTCTGAAATATGGCCAATGATGCCACTCTTCCTTGATCAAACTTGGATTAGTGACTGGCCCAATTATCGCAGGTGCTCTTCTTGATATGTATGCAAACCAAGGAAGCATTTGTGAGTCCAAAAGAGTTTTCAGTGAGACGCCTCATAAAAGCCAGTTTGCTTGGATTGCAATAATATCTGCATATGCTGGGCATGGAGACTATGACTCAGTGATAGAATTGTTCAAGGAGATGGAGAGAGAAGGAGTAGACCTGATTCAGTCACATTTCTTTCTATACTAGCAGCAGGCTGCAGAAATGGAATGGTGGAGATGGGCCGTCACCTCTTTCATTCAATGGTGAAGGACTATCATATTGAACCATCTCCTCAACATTATTCAAGTATGGTGGACATGTTGGGATGTGCAGGGAAATTGGAGGAAGCACAAGAATTGATGAGTCAGATCCCGGGACAGCCAGGGTTTTCATTGTTGCATAGCCTGCTCGGGGCTTGCAGGATCCATGGGAATGTGGAGATGGCGGAGAGAGTAGCCAATACATTAATGAGATTGGAACCAATGGAATCGGGATCTTTTGTGTTGATGTCCAACTTGTATGCTGAGAAAGGGGACTGGGAAATGGTAGCAAAAGTTGGGAAATGGAAGAGAGATGAAGGAGTGAGAAAGGAATTGTGATATAGTTGGGTGGATACTGGTGATGCTGATGGTTCCCTGTATCTGCATGGGTTTTCATCAGGTGGTATATCCCACCCACACAGTCTGGGGAGATATGTAGAATGGCAAAATGTCTAGGATTAGAG